TCGACACAACCAAGGAACGAATGACGAACACATGTTTAGATATTCTTGATCGAGCAGTTGATGTTCTCAAGCGATTTCGCATGAAATTGCAGCATATATGTGAATCAGTACACAGTTTACCGATTTTTCACGTTATTAATCTATTTGTCGATATTCGACAAGCAGAACACGATCTTACACTGATGAAGCCGCTACTTATTCCCTCAGCTCTACCATCACTACTTTCTATAGTTTCATTCTGGAAAGATCGTACTAAAATTCAACATGTCTGCATGGGTTTTGTGCATTTAGTTGCAAAAGTTTCAGCAACGATTGATTCAACTTTTCTCGATCATGTTCAAGTTGTTGATCACGATACACTGGGCGAAGAATGTGTGACAGTTTATACAAACTATAAAAATGAAATTGAAAAACGTTATCAAGAGAAAGTTCTCACATTGATCTCTTACTACAGTTCGTCGAGTGATCTTTTCGATTTTCTTCACTTGTTGACATTGGAGGATGTTTACAATTTGCAAGAAGCTGTAAATGATTGGGATGAAACATTGCTCAACCCAAAATCAGTATTCGATTTTGCTGTCGTAAAGAATTTCATCGATCGTGCTTATAAGGCGATGAGCATCTTGGATAGAACTTCATTTCAGCTTGAGCGTGTCGTCGACTGTTTTATTGAAGTCTGGAAAGATGCTCAATTTACAGATTTACTGAAATGTCTCGAGTCAGCATCGCTTGCCTTGTCAAGTATTAAACGTATTCATCTGGAATTAACTGATAAAGAACAATCAAAACGACGTCGTATTGCTGATATTCTGCAAAAATCTACAATTTATTTTGTACATATTAATGATCAGCAACTAATCTTCGATATCAACGTTGAACTACCAGTGCAACAAACAACAACGACGAACGACGAAAAGAAACAACAGAACATTACTTTTGCTGATCTCAGTGAACTTCGTGATCGTGCACGTCTATTAGAATATTCGAGTAATGTTAAGAAACAAAATTTATCGGGAGTTGATCATGAACATGAAAAACGCAAACTTCGTGAATTTATTCAATTTGTAAGCATTGTCGAATTGATCCTGGAGATTCTGAGAAATTTATACACAGCTGGTCACCCATCCGTATCAGAATTTCTCAAGCCGAAGAAAACATTTTCCTGTACAAATGAGAAGTACGATGATCTACGAGAAAATTGCCAAATCTTGGAAAATCTATTGAAGAATTGGGAAACGCACCTATGCCATATGTACGAGAGATTTATTGGATTGACGTATTTCTCGAGCGACCAGTTCTGGCAAATCGAGGAGTACATCTACAATAGACCGTCACTCGCGCATCCAGGCTATCATTTTCTTCAATTCATCGGAATTGACTCAACTTCAATCATTCAACCACAGTGCGCACAGCAACAACAAAGTCCTGAAGATCGACTGGCGAATCTTGGTCGATGGCTTTCGAAAAAACAAAGGATTGACTCTGTGGAAGAGCCTCCAAAGAATAAAAAATGTTTCCTCGTCGAAACAACAAACGAAGGTGTTCTCCGTGCTATTCTCTCTTTATTTGATTTGATGAAGACACCATCTGAAGTTCACCGAATCTTTTATTGTACTTGGCGAACAAACTGGGTTCAAGTACGTGCGTTCATTTATCGTTGTTTTTATTCGCAAACACTCCACCAAATCATTCGACCTGAACGTCTTTCACAATCGATTCAACATCGATTTACAGATCTCTTACGCACATTAATGGAATCTAAACCGCGTCAATATTTTCGCATCGGAATTATCACAACGGCTCCTTCATTTGAACAACAACTCATTAACGGACTTCAATCCATGCAAGTTCTTCAGATTTATCGTGATCATGAATTATTTAATGCCAATGAATTCAAACAAATTTTGAAACGATCGATGCGTCCATGTACATTAGTGACATCGAGGATTACCGGTCTGGGAAAGTCCAGCTTAATTCATCAGACTATTCGATCATCGGGTAAAAATGAAGTGAAGTTTCCAATCTACGGTGATTTTGATGTGGATACATTAGCTGAACGTCTGCGCTCAAAGTATCCTGAATTTCAACGTGGAGCAATTCATTTTGATATTGGCACAATTGAAAATCGTCATCAATTGAATGAAATCTTCTACTGTCTTCTCCTATTCGGAAGTTTTCAATTTGGACAAGCAACGGTTGCTATACCGGCTGAAACACCCATCTATATTGAACTTGATGCATCACCACAATCTACTCTAACAGAAATCACTCTATTCGATCATGTTGAAACATCAATACCAATCGATCAAATCGATTGGGACAATCTCAATGTCAACGACAATCGAATTCAAGTCGTAGCCAATTATTTACAAGCTATTGCCGATAAAACAATTCTTAAACAAAACATCAATCCTACCCCAATCCAAAAACTCGATCTGGCCACATGCTCCCGCTTGATTCAACAATCTTTCTTAGCAGGAAAAAATCAAGATTTCATTACATGGACAAAATTACAAATCTTTATCGGTGTTTTCTATCGTCTATTCACAGGTTTCTCACGATGTGGTCATTTTCTCTGTGAATACGTTCCAAACGCACAACTTCGAATGGATCTTGTACTAACACTTCTTCAATCATCCAATCAATTTACTTCATTGTCGGTCGAAAACGTACGCACACAGCAACAAGCCGTCGCGACAAATGAACCCGTGACATATAGTGACGCGATCGTTCGATGGGATACTATTCAACCGTTTACATTAGTATTCACTGCTACTGACGATGCCTTGTTTGTCTACAAAAAACCGGACGATGTGCCTGCAGCATTAAAACAATATTTCGAAGTTTATCATAGAGCGCTCAAGAAAGGTAAACAGACAACGATCAACGAAATGTTTCCTGATTATAATCAACTTTCACACGCACAACTATTCAATAAATTGGCTTCTCTCTCACGGAAATATTTCAATAAATCGATTTGTCCCGTATGCTTTTGTCAGTATGAATACACAGAGCAACGTTGTCAGCAATGCTCTACGAAACAGATGCTCATTCGACCGAAAACATTCGATCACGATGATATTTCGATCTTTCAACTTGATATTGCCGAACGATTGCAAAACGAATACGTTCTTACTCCGGATAATTTTATTAAAATGCTTCTCATCTATCTACGAGTACAAAGTGGTATCCCTGTTTTGATTATGGGTGAAACAGGTAAGAGATAGAACGCAATCCAAAACAAAAACCTTCTCTTTTTTTTGTAGGATGTGGAAAAACAGCCTTAATTCAATTCTTATGTCAGAAAATTTTAGATGACCAATTGCAAGTTTTTCGTATGCATGCTGGTGTTCAAGCCAATGATATTATTCGTGTAATGCAGGACTACGTTACGCAAGCATTAGAGTTAGAGAAACAAAACAAAAAGATGTGGATATTTTTCGATGAATTCAACACAACAAGTAATATTGGTCTCCTAAAAGAAATTATGTGCGAGAGAACTTTACTGGGCATGCCATTACCAATAAACATCGTTTTCTTGGGTGCATGTAATCCACGGCGTAAGAAGACAAAGAAAATTATGATCAATGACGATGCTCATATTGGTCTACGAAAAACACGTTATGAAACTCAGAAATTACTTTGTGCAGGTACGGATCGATGTCTTCTCTATACAGTAGTACCCATTCCAGAGACGATGCTCGAATATATCTGGGATTATGGTTATCTGAATGAACCAACGGAAAAAGCTTACATACAGACAATGTTAAAAACATGTCGGGATCTTTCGTCAGATGCAGCTCTTTTCAACCTAACAGTCACATTACTCCTCAGTTCGCAGAATCATATGCGTGATCTTGAAGACGTTAGTAGTGTGAGTTTACGAGATGTTGCACGATTCTGTCGATTGTACAATTGGTTTTTGAATTCATTAAATCAACGGGCAAATGAAAGTCCGTCAAAAGAACGTCCGCTATCGTACTCTCGCCGAGCAAGTTTAATAGCTTTATTACTTTGTTATTATTTTCGACTACGATCAGAGAAATTACAAGACCTCTATCTTGAAAAAATGCAATCCATTATGGCAAAGAGTCACCCACATCTTCAAAAAACGCCCAACTATCTACGAACAAATATTCTCGAATATGAACAAAAGAAACTAATTGATGAGAAAATGGAATTACCATCAGGTACTGCTTCAAATCGAGCTTTACGCGATAATATATTTGTCCTGTTTGCCTGCATTATCAATCGTATTCCTTTGTTTTTATGCGGCAAACCTGGTAGTAGTAAATCATCGGCTGTTCAAATCGTCATAAGTAATTTGAAAGGAAAGAAATCTAAAGATCCATACTTTCAAACACTTCCTGAGCTAGTTGCCGTCTCATTTCAAGGTTCACAAAACTGTACGTCGGAAAGTATCATTAAAGTATTTCAGCGTGCTGCAAATTATTCTCACGTCAAAACTCGTTCTGAATTATTACCTGTAATTGTTTTCGATGAGATTGGTCTTGCTGAACTTTCACCGCACAATCCATTGAAAGTTCTTCATGCTGAACTAGAAGTCGAAAATAATCAATACGGATTCGTTGGTATTTCGAATTGGAGATTGGATGCGTCAAAAATGAATCGAGCTTTGTACCTATCGACACCTGATCCTAATGTACATGATCTAGAATTGACAGGTAAAATTATTAAGGAAAGTATGCAACAACAAACGGAAGGCCGAATCGTTCCACTCGAGCCATTGATCATAAAAAGTCTTTCTCAGGCCTATTATGATTTGTACCAGAATATGAAAGAAACACAAGCTGATCATGAAAATTATTTCGGTCTTCGCGATTATTATTCGTTAATCAAAGGTATTGTTCGTGATCTCATGGAAATAAAAGATAACAAATCCGACATCTATGACATCGTTCGACGACAACTCAAAGTGAATTTTGATGGTATCCTCGATGGTTCGTTTCTCTTGTGGCAACAGTTCTGTCATTATATTAATCGACAAAATCTTGTAAACGAATACATGTGTCCATCGTTTGATATTCTTCTCGATCGTGCCCTTACCAGTCGTAACAATCGATATCTGCTGCTCATTGCCAATAGTGATAGTACGATTGATTATGTTGAACGATTTATCAATGTTCATCAAGGGAAACATGACATCGAAGTGCGTACACTTGTAGGTAGTTCGTTTCCTGGCGATCTTCTTAGCGGAAATACGTATGCTGAACAGTATAACTATCGTGTTCTGATGGATATCATTCTCTATGCCGAACGAAATCTGACTCTAATCATGCGTCAAATGGGTCATCTGTATGATAATCTTTATGATTTATTTAATCAGAATTTTGCTGTTTCTGCTCGAAAGAAATATTGTCGTATTGCATTGGGTGCACTCTATCATCCTCGCTGTTTAGTACACGATGATTTCTATTGTGTCGTTTTTATTCATGAACGTGATCTCGACAAATGTGATCCACCATTTCTCAATCGATTCGAAAAGCATCGTATTGATATACAAACACTGATTCATCCTCGACATCGATCGATATCGAATGATATTCATCTCTGGTTGAAAAATCTCTCGCCGAAAAATGTCGGCATAAACTTTCCACTCTTACAGCACTTATTTGTCGATTATAGTGAAGATCGAATTTGTAATCTGGTGACTGAAGCATTTGAACAACTTGACATTGATGTCAATGTGGAAGAAACTCAAGAACAACGTCAAGCAATTATCCATTATTGTCAAACTCGATTATTTCGTACAAGTTCCTTAGATTTACCGTTAGTATTATCATTAGAACCAACAGATGAAAGTCAAATTTTCATTGATCAATATTATCAAGTTCATCAGTCCGTCAATTTTACTACACTTCTACAGCAATATTTAAACAGAGGTCAACTTTCTCCACAGATTATTTACACATACACTCAAATATTTCATCCGATCGATTCATTACCTAACACTGTTGAAGAAGTCAAATTGAGTGCATTCAAAACGGAACTGGAACTAACGAATAAAATCAAAAGTCATTATCAAACAACAACAACAACAAATGTTCGTCTTCTCTTAATTCGTGTCGACTATCATAATGAACATCAACATATTCTTTCGTTGAAACATGTCGTTCTCAATGAACGTATATCGAACAGTAACCGCGATGTTTGGCTTATATTTCATTTACAACGTAATTTACTTAATCAGACGACCAATGATGTACTATTTAGTAGATGGGAAGCGAATATGATCGATGATTTGAACAGACAAGAGATATTTGTTAGTAAATCAGTTTTTACCAATCCATTTTATCATGAGCTGGTTCTTCAATCGGAATATTCCTTATCCGAATGCATGTTTGATGATCTAGTCGACCGATGTCTATCGAAAATTCGATACAATGTATTACGTAAAGAGGACGAAGGACGGATCAATGAACGACGTCAGTTGATCTTTCAAGAACTTATCCATCGTCCCGATCAATCTGCATCGATAGAATTTCATCTTCGTTCTATTGTCGAAAACAATTTGACTTCGTTGATTCAAAATTGTGCAACACGTAATACAGCACGTTTCACTGATTGGCGATTAGATATATTGACTAATGGCAAAACTATCGCTGCTTCACGTTCATTTCAAGATGCATTCCAAACAACAATTGCCATGTTTCTCGAAACGCATCTTTTCGCTTTCATTGCGCATCTTGAAAAATACAACTTCCTTTATGCTTACTATTTTCTGTCGACGTTCACTGATATGAACATTCGAAAATCTCTGGCGAAATTATGGATGCATTGTTTTCATTCGATGATGAAAAATCTTGATTTTACTGTAATGGATCGTGAAATCATCGAAATCGAACTTATTTTCCATCTACAATTGCCTTGTGCCACGATAGAATATGAAAATATCCGAAAATTACGAGATGACATTGAAAAATCTCAAAATGCCGGTGATGATCGTTTTGATTATGCGGCTGACGCGATTGAACAAATCTCGTCAATAAGCTTTTATGGTGAAGAATTCATGCGATTGGTTTTCAACGATGAACAATACTTTAAGTTGTACTTTTTGGACCAAATAGCAATGCATTTACTTGAAAGAAACATCCATCTGTCGTCAACGTTCGTTTTCAATCTGTTGACAAGTAATCCCATACGTTCATTATCAGAGAAAGGTCAATTCTTTCTTGCCGAACATGTTGAACTAACTGAAATTCTTCGTCTATTTGAAATTGGCTTACAATTAATCGAAGAAAAGGAAATTCTTAATGTGATAAACAAACAATGGATCAAGGATTTGACGCATCCATCCGAATCTTCTCGGTTCTACACATTACTAATCAATCATGAACATTTGTATCAACTTCCACCAGGAGCTGCTATCATTACTGATGAATGGATTTTCCGATGTACGGGTGATCCGATGATTGAAACAAGTTTGATGAATCTAATTGAATTAATTCTGTCACCAACGGTTATTCATCGAGCAGAGAGTATTCAACAAATAACCACGATGTATAGCTTAGTTGCACAAGGTATTCGTAATCTTATGTCGTATCAAGTCAACAATCTGGAAAAACTTCGTTCATTTATCAGTCTTATTCGTTGTCTAACGACTCTTCTGCCTAATAGAGCTCTCAATGTATTCAAAGATGTTTGTCAACAAGGTTTCGATGCCAAATTTAACAGTTGCCAAACGATTCATCAGTTTGTAACCTCTCTCAATGAAGTGATCAAGAGTGAAGGATCATCTGCTGACGAGAACGTTGTACAACGAACGTTGATCAAACTCGAGATCGAATTTCTCAGAGATTGGTTAGCTGATCATAGCGACTCTTATGGCGACATTCTCATATTAATGAATGAATCTGATAATAATCTATGGCATTATTCTGCAAAAATTTTTACCTACATCGATCTCAAACTCGATTTATTATCGACGTTAAGAGAAAACCATGGTAAACTTCCTTCGAATGACGACTTTCAACAATTGGACCATGTATTACAAGTTGGAAATAATCCATCATATAAAGTTGAACGATTATTGACCAATCGATTACATCTGCATTTGATGCGAAATGCTCGAGGAGATGAAATTGATCAACAATTAACTGAGTGTTATACACATTTCGAACAAAATCTGTATGCCATTCAGAACTTGGTGCAGACAGTTGATCTTTCAATGATATGTTTCCTCGCTTGGCTCAAATATTACGCGCACATTTATAGTTTTGCTCTAAGTAATGATAGTCATGAACCAGTGCTTCATCGTCTCGATCAACTACTCACTAATCTCGATACGCCGATCAGTAATACGATCAAACTCTTCGTTATCAAACAATTGCTTCAAATTTCTGGATTGAATGTAGCTGCTCTACGTGATCTCTATGTCAATCGTAATCAAACATGGATCAATGTATTTCTTCAAAACTCTCGGAATGAACAAACGCAAAATGTTCGTCGATTGTTGATTCTGCCAACACCCTTGTTCGAATGTCGAGAACAATTTCAACGAACGATGNCGCCGATCAGTAATACGATCAAACTCTTCGTTATCAAACAATTGCTTCAAATTTCTGGATTGAATGTAGCTGCTCTACGTGATCTCTATGTCAATCGTAATCAAACATGGATCAATGTATTTCTTCAAAACTCTCGGAATGAACAAACGCAAAATGTTCGTCGATTGTTGATTCTGCCAACACCCTTGTTCGAATGTCGAGAACAATTTCAACGAGCGATGGGTCTAATGAATGAAATCACGAAAATAAATGAGTTACGTCAGATGATTCATGCATGTGGTACATCGCAACAGTTCAGTTATGCTGTACTTTGTTGGTTCATTCAATACTATTGTCGCTTCGTGCAGCCAAACACGAGCGTCGATAAAACATTTATTCAACTGATCGAACATGATCTTAAAAAAGAATTGATTCAATCATTTACACTCGTGGGTCATCGTCTGATTCTTTCGTTATGTTCGAATTTCTCACCAAATTCGTATTTTCATCTACAACCGGAAATGGTAGCTAACCAAATTCATAAACGTTTACTTGCTCTCAACGTTGTGGCTGTATTTCTTTCGTTTAAAACACATCGCAAAATAACATTCTTTGAACATTTGCTTTTCAACGAACAACGACAAGTGCCTAACAACTATTTACAACATCTTGCATCGATTTGTTTACCAGGTTTGACTATCAGTGATCCAGTTGTTACGCAAATGATCGATGTTCGAACACAAGTTCAAGATCGACTTAATCGTGGAGTTGTTCATACCGGTGGCAAATTCATTTTTCAATGTTCACGCGATTGTCCCTGGATGTTCTATTTTCAAGATTGTGGTGTACCGAACGATCGATTCATCTGTCCCCTCTGTCGAAAACCGATCGGAGCTGAACGGTACAATGTTCTGATCGTGCGTGATCCTCCGCAAATTCAACTTCCAGCTAACGAAGGTCTTGGTATCATTAATCAACGGATAGAACAATATCATCAAACAAATCGTCTTGGTTATCATAATATTAAAACTGCGGAGACCAGTGCATTTGGTGAAAAATCTGATCATCTCAATCGACCTGTTTCGTTTCGTTTCATTCATATGCTGACTCATGGCCTCCTTCTTTTCTTACATGATTCAGATTATTTAAGTAATGATGATTTAATTAAAGGTTTAAAATTATCCAGTAATACACATTTTCGTGATCATTTCGAAAAAGACTACACACTTCTTGCTCAAGTATCAACTGATCAACAACAAAGTTACTTATGGTTGTATAAACTTCTTAACCATCTTGTTCACGACGACTTTGCTCGGCGTGGTGTGTTCAGAAGTAACCAAGACGTTCTTCAATTCGAGCAAATGATTGAACAAAAACTAATCTTTCCACATATCGATTCGTTAGCCAATGAGATTACCGAATACAAACAAGCTTATGGTCAATTCGTTCAACAGTGTGACGCTGAAATTTCGTTGGAAAATTTTATCGATGAACTTTTCGAAAACGAACAACGCTATCCACTGTTGAACTTTTTCAATGTAACAACGTTCTATACGGCAAATCCACTCGATGAATTCAGTGTCAAAATACAAACGTTGCCATATGCTGAAGAAACCTACCCTATCACAGCATTTCTTCTCAAACGTCTCAACGATTTTACCAACATTCAGCATCTTTATCCCATTGTCATCTTTACAAATTATCTTATTGAAAAATTTAATCATCGTATTAAACGAAACGATGCAGTAGAAAGAAAAATTCTCTACTATTTGAACAATGGTGATGATCAAAATATCACACGACAGTTGTTCAATGATTTTCTTCATGCTTGGTATGCTCTCAATTTGAAAGAAGTTCGTTATGGATGTCAATCGCCCAAATTTGAATTAAGTAATCCGAAAGACAAATTTGCCGAACATACGAGCGTGGCTATGCTTCTGCTGAACACATCACGTGATGAAAGTAGTCTTTTACTTGCTGCTTGTCTGAAAACTATTGCCGAACTACAGAATGAAGTTGTCAATTACTTTCATAATCTGGTTGGACAAACTGTTGGAACTACGACGAAACAAAAGCGTGTGCCATTACAATCTATACGACCAGAACATATTCTTCGATTGGATCGAAATGATCTAAGTAAGAAACTTGTCGAAGATAGTTTACTACTCAATTACAATTATGGTAAAGGTCGGGATGTGATTTATGATTATGAAGAAATCGAAATGCATCTTCGTAATATGATCAGTTCAGTCGTGTTAATCGATACTGAGCAATTACGTTTTCTCAACTATCAATTTGAATTATACGGAGAAAATACTTCATTGATCAATGACGTCCGTACACGAATTAAACAAGAGCAACTACCGAATAATGATCGAATAAAATTATCGCGGCTGGTTATAACAATGAATAAGGATGATATTCTCAACTATCTCGGTTCACTGGACTATGTTTTTACGTATCTAAGAACGAGTGGAAAAGAACATGCATCAGAAACAACACCTATTCATACATTTGTTGAACATCATATTTATGCTCATTCATGTTTGAATGATAATATTCTTCGTCGACCACCGTTTTCTACCATTCAACTACGATACATTATCGATCTGTATGAAATGTTGGAAGAAACTGCTTTCGATCAAGTCTTGCGTGATTATATTAAGAAGGAATTGGCTGAAGAGACGTTTAGTGTTGACGAACGTCAACGTGTTCTCGATGAATTTTCTGCTGAAACATTCGAGAAACAGACGATTGCACCGCCATTGAAATCAGTCGATGCTTGGATCTCCATGCTCAAACGTTTAATGATACGAGTATTGAATGCTAATGTTACTCTTGATGTACCACTTCAATTGTATCTTGAACGAACAGATTTATGGAGTGATCGCGTGACGGATGTTGATCTTGCTAGTTTTCAAGTTGCCGACAGTGTTCTACTTCAACATACGTACGTGATTTTATGTGGTCTAGAAAAGAAACAACAAGCGAATAATCGCCCAATATTACAACTGAATAAACCAACTGTTCAAACTGTCGAAGGACAACGACAAAAGGCCCAAGCATGGTTCGATGAGACAGCTAAACCAACGATAACACCTAAAGTTGTGTCCGATAAGAAGCAAAAACTGCGCGTCTAATGATTTTTTTCCTTTCTTTCTGACATAATAAACATGAGTTAAACAAACAAATAAAACTGACTACGAAGAATAAGTTTCCAAACGAAGAAGATCTTTATGGACTTCTGTTTTAGGATAGTTAAAGACATGCTCATTGTATTAAAAACAACAATGAATTCACATAGATGTACGTTCCGACTCTCATCATGCTGGCTCCGTGTCGAATAAAATGCCAAAATGATTTTACCTTATATAATTCTCAGAAAACATAGACGTGCAATTTTAAAGAAAATTCTATTTACATAAGAGTATATCCTACACCCTCGCCCACACCCTCACCCTCACACCCTCAATGATGTTTCTTTGTTACCTTTAGGTATTTCGATTAGTTTCACGGGCACTGAAATGGTATCTAAACCAATTTCTTCCAAAGGTATGCCTTTCGAATTTTGATCAGCCCAATGGCAACCAAAACAAAGACGAAGAAACCAACCACGGATACAATCTATCTGTATTGTATCAATACTAAGAAAATATGCAAGATTACATAATTAGAAGATATAATTTTTACTCAACTTACCCTGAAGGACCAGGCACACCAATTTTGGTATAATCGAAAATAGCATCCCAGAAATTATTATCTACATTACCTTTATATGTTTGAATAAATTGATCCATAATGGGCAAGACTCCATCAAGATATTCACGAAAATTTTCTCTAGAAGACTTGTTTTGTGACGAAGGTAGAGTGAATTTTTTCAAATTCTCCGTCTTTTCGCGTAGTAATTCCCAATCTTGAAATGTACCTTTAAAATGTACATTTCGTATTCCACATCCACACACTAATTGAGTGTAGTCAAAATATTTTTTGAAAGTATGCATAATGCATACGGACGAAAGAAGTTTTTCAACATATTTCGTTGTTGAAAAATTTGATGTAAGAATATTGACAATATTATTTTTTACGTGTTTACCGATTTCGACTTGCATTTTATTCAAGAAGTTCGGCCAACTAAAATAGTAGATTTGTTTTCCATTTACCAAACTTATTCGCCGAAAGAAAAACGTTCTTATTACTCACTCAGGTTCCATAGCATCTATTGCAACAACAAGTTCTTTCTTGCCTGTATGTTCAACAAACAAATCCCGCATCTGTTCGGCATGATCAGCAACATAGCGAGCATAGTAAATATTGATCATAAGCCAAATGTCATCAGGCGATAAGACGATATCTTCATGTGCATTATAAGCGGCTAAATAAGCTTCAAATAAAGCATGACCACCACGAATGATATGTGTATGAGGTCCATTTGCTTGGAAATAAGCTTGTCGATATTTGTTTTTATTCGAGAAGCTTTTGAAATCACCATAAACTCTCGGCGCTTGTATCGATTTAGCCCAATATTGTTCCGATATAGATGAGTTCGTGTATTTATGTCCACTATCCTTTTGATTACTACTCGTGGCGAGCGATTGCGGTTCAAGATCACGAATACGAACTGTATGATACATCGTACTAGATCTAAAATGTTCTTCTAAGAATAATAAAAAAAAGGGTCAGTGTGGGTGAATGAGTGTCGAGCAAATCCATCAGCTCGCACTCATTCTCGTAACCTCCATTCACTACTAAATCTAAAATCGCCGTGCAAAATTTAGCGACGTTATGTAAAATAGAGACCTACAGCTGTCATAGATGGGTAGTCTAAGTGGAATACACCCACGCCCTCTCTCTGTATTTTCCTGGAGCTGAAGAACTAGCGTGGCATGGCAAGTTTAGTGGTCATGACTGATACGGGCAGCAGATACAAAACGATCAAGCGAAGAAACACAGAAATGCTCAACTTTTATAAAAAGAAAAAAAAACGGAGAAAACTTCACTAAGAGTCAGCAAAGGCACAGTGGATCTCGCTCATCTTCGAACTCGACCGAGATATTGATGGAATAATACTATGCATCAAATCTCGTGACAATTGGATTGATCTTTTAGGAGTTACCGGATTAACTGTCGGACATGGTGACTAATTCTATAGTGTACTTGCGTTTTGAGTACACAAAAAGGACTTAAAAGAGAATGGAAAGCAAAGTAGTGGGAAATAATCGGAGATGAATGATAATTGCCGAGACAATTAAAATAGATTCCGACTGTTCCAGATCCCAATATCATAAACTATCACATCTGTTTCGCTAAAGTGTTACAAGCCGTGTGCTCTCACTTCCTTTATATAATGATAAAAAGGCACATACGCCTATTTTTTTCTGCTTCAAATGTATACAAAAGGACCACGTGTTTTACCGTTCGAAATGGCAAATAGTTTCTTCCTACTACCTACCGTTTTATTCTTTGCATCAAAATGGATTTATTATCTCAACAGAACAGAAACACACTTTCTCTTAATGTATTTTGCATTTACTTTTCTCAAAAAGCCTTTTTGATGTTCTAGATAACAGGAAGAATAAAAAATATAATTACACGTAGTCAAAGAAAAATATGTATATCTCCGCCCAAGGTTAATTTAATACTTCATTTTTCCTGGAATTTCTTCACACTGTTGCGATTTTATCGCATAGTTATACGAGACGCCAGTCTCTGATTGCTTAATATATACTACGGAAATTGAACTTATGAGACAAGATTCGACTGAGAAAACTACAAGTATGTCTCACGCAAAGATGTTCATTGCGATCAAAAATCTACGTAGGATACCTTCGGGCAGGATTCGACATTTTCTTGACCGGATTGGTTTTAGCGTAGGTTCCAATCAAACCAACACTGGTTCCAAGTACAACTTGATGAGCTCTATCGCGGTTTCAAAAATAAAATTTCCAGAAAACCTCTTTCTTCACCCTCAAAGCCTAAAAAACCTGAAAAAAAAAACGAAACTAGAGAAAAACCAGGACGGATTCGTTTTACAACCAGCCACCGCGATGCTAACACTGGTTCCAGATCAAACTCGACGAGCTCTATCGGTTTCAATCATAAAAAATTTTCACCCTCACACCCTCAATAATGCTAGAAGAATTAAAAACACATTTAAACTCAAAACATCATGTTCATTGGCAGTGCATTAATCCAAATAGTAATTTGAACATTATCACAAATTTCTTGAGTCATTTTGAGAATTCTTCTATTGGTCTCAATGGATCTATCATCGCGCATGATCCAAATGCTCAAAAGGTATTTAATAACTGGCTGCTTTCTCATTCGACTATTTTAAATAAAATTATTATCGAAACTGATTTTCCCTTCTTACGTCCATATATACTGGAAGAAAATCAATATAATCCCATAAGTGGCATTGCAACTACCACACAGTATATAGTTAATGTTTTGCGCATGAAAAATATGAACACAACAAAAATGATCGACCATACAAACACCAATATTAGGCACGTGTATTCGTTATATCAATCAAATAATCACCAAGGGTCATCATATCTGCTTGCTTCTGATAGTCTTGTTTCATAATGTTCTTAAACTCTGCATATTCATATGTCAAATAAAGAATGATAATAAATAAAATAATCACGCTTTCTAAGAGTAGTTTTACGTTTGAAATGTTTTCGAAAACAGTTCGTAAACCACATTGCATAGTTTCACATTATTAGAAGAGGTATAGCTGAAGGCGAACTATTAGTAAGGATAAGGTCACAAACAAAGAAAGATGATACAGATAAGAAGACGATTTTCTTCACCACAAAGTACTATGGACAAGAATCTATCATTTTTGCATCTTGTATTAAGAAAGCCTGTCACCAAATGATTCCGAACTTGTCAATCCAATTCGCCTTTAGAAAACATATAAGTCTTAAGAATATGTTTCTACCTATTATAGAAGGGATTGACGAGAATAGAAAGAAAAAGAACTTAATATATTCAATACCATGTCGGGATTGCGAAAAAGTATATATTGGAGAAACCAGTCGAATGAGAGATACACGGATAAGAGAACATAAATCAAATGTTAGATCAATAAATGAAAAATCGAAATTAGTTGAACATATTCTAGAGCATAAAGATGAATTTGACTTTGACAATACTAACATTTTATCACATGAGACTAATTGGAGAAAACACGTAATAAAAGAAAGCATATTAACTAATAAAACACGAGGAAAATCGATTGACGAAACGAAACGTATCATCCAGGTACTCGACTAAAAAGTAATAGTAGTGCAGGAGAACTTAATCATAAATCTTCCACCGAACATCAAGGTTGAGATTACTCACGCTGATACTGTGTACTTTTAAATTTCTTCTTTACATTCTATTTCTTTCATCAATACATTTTGCTGATGTTGTGAGATGTGATCCACATAACATCAATGTCGACACCCTCCACATCAATATATATATAACAAAACAGTCATTTAATATCAAACTGACATTTATTTAATAATTCAATTTTCTTTGTAGGTAAGCATGGTGATTGGAAATAATATCATTCTTTCTTTGTTCGAATTAGAAATTAAACGGAATGATATCTAATGGAAAGCAGAATATCATAATAATCAACAACATAAATAATATTACTATCATCAATGAAACGAACGCAAAACTGACAATAACACATTTTCGATTTTCTTTGTCTTTTTCTTTTTGTTTTCGTAATAAAAATTCCTGATGATGAGCTCAGATAGAGCTTGAAAGCTTGAATCTCTCTTTTATTTCTGATCGAAATAAGACTCATGATTTTTACGGCAGTTCTCTCTTTATTGTCTCATATTTTACCTACTGCTCTCTCTTCTTCCTTTATNAATTGCTTCAAATTTCTGGATTGAATGTAGCTGCTCTACGTGATCTCTATGTCAATCGTAATCAAACATGGATCAATGTATTTCTTCAAAACTCTCGGAATGAACAAACGCAAAATGTTCGTCGATTGTTGATTCTGCCAACACCCTTGTTCGAATGTCGAGAACAATTTCAACGAACGATGAGTATAATGAATGAAATCACGAAAATAAATGAATTACGTCAGATGATTCATACATGTGGTACGTCGCAACAGTTCAGTTATGCTGTACTTTGTTGGTTCATTCAATATTATTGTCGTTTCGTGCAGCCAAACACGGACATCGATAAAACATTTATTCAACTAATCGAACATGATCTTAAACAAGAATTGATTCAATCATTTACACTCGTGGGTTATCGTCTGATTCTTTCGTTATGTTCGAATTTCTCACCAAATTCTTATTTTCATCTACAACCGGAAATGGTAGCTAACCAAATCCATAAACGCTTACTTGCTCTCAACGTTGTGGCTGTATTTCTTTCGTTTAAAATACATCGCAAAATAACATTCTTCGAACATTTGCTTTTCAACGAACAACGACAAGTGCCTAACAACTATTTGCAACATCTTTCGTCGATGTGTTTACCAGGTTTGACTATCAGTGATCCAGTTATCACGCAAATGATCGATGTTCGAACACAAGTTCAAGATCGACTTAAGCGTGGAATTGTTCATGCCGGTGGCAAATTCATTTTTCAATGTTCACGCGATTGTCCTTGGATGTTTTATTTTCAAGATTGTGGTGTACCGAACGATCGATTTATCTGTCCGCTCTGTCGAAAACCGATCGGAGCTGAACGGTACAATGTTCTGATCGTGCGTGATCCTCCGCAAATCCAACTTCCAGTTAATGAAGGTCTTGGTATCATTAATCAACGGATAGAACAATATCATCAAACAAATCGTCTTGGTTATCATAATATTAAAACTGCGGAAACCAGTGCATTTGGTGAAAAATCTGATCATCTCAATCGACCTGTTTCGTTTCGTTTCATTCATATGCTGACTCATGGTCTCCTTCTTTTCTTACATGATTCAGATTATTTAAGTAATGATGATTTAATTAAAGGTTTAAAATTATCCAGTAATACACATTTTCGTGATCATTTCGAAAAAGACTACACACTTCTTGCTCAAGTATCAACTGATCAACAACAAAGTTACTTATGGTTGTATAAACTTCTTAACCATCTTGTACACGACGACTTTGCTCGGTGTGGTGTGTTCAGAAGTAANCGAGTGGAAAAGATCATGCATCCGAAACAACACCTATTCATACATTTGTTGAACATCATATTTATGCTCATGCATGTTTGAATGATAATATTCTTCGTCGACCACCGTTTTCTACCATTCAACTACGATACATTATTGATCTGTATGAAATGTTGGAAGAAACCGCTTTCGATCAAGTCTTGCGTGATTATATCAAGAAAGAATTGGTTGAAGAGACGTTTAGTGTTGACGAACGTCAACGTGTTCTCGATGAATTTTCTGCTGAAACATTCGAGAAACAGACGATTGCCCCGCCATTGAAATCAGTCGATGCTTGGATCTCCATGCTCAAACGTTTAATGATACGAGTATTGAATGCTAATGTTAGTCTTGATGTACCACTTCAATTGTATCTTGAACGAACAGATTTATGGAGTGATCGTGTGACAGATGTTGATCTTGCTAGTTTTCAAGTTGCCGACAGTGTTCTACTTCAACATACGTACGTGATTTTATGTGGTCTAGAAAAGAAACAACAAGCGAATAATCGTCCAATGTTACAACTGAATAAACCAACTGTTCAAACTGTGGAAGGACAACGACAAAAGGCCCAAGCATGGTTCGATGAGACAGCTAAACCAACGATAACACCTAAAGTTGTGTCCGATAAGAAGCAAAAACTACGCGTCTAATGATTTTTTTTCCTTTCTTTCTGACATAATAAACATGAGCTACACAAACAAATAAAAGTGACTACGAAGAATAAGTTTCCAAACGAAGAAGATCTTTATGGACTTCTGTTTTAGCATAGTTAAAGACATGCTCATTGTATTAAAAACAACAAGGAATTCATATAGATGTACGTTCCGATCTCTCCTCATGCTGGTTCCATGTCGAATAAAATGCCAAAATGATTTTACATCATATAATTCTCAGAAAACATAGATGTGTAATTTTAAAGAAAATTCTATTTACATAAGAGTATATTCTAAACACTCACCCAAAATTTACAACAGAATCATTAAATAATCGGAAATATCAGTGGTTTAAGGAAAGCATTAATGCTACTAACTCCTTTTTTCGCTGGAATATGTCGTACATTATGGGTGTATCTAAAACGAAGAAAATGTAGTCGACGATTAAGAATCAATGATCGAATTTAAACCTACATTAGCGTCATTATTAACATAACATTTTCGTTGTAGATGCTTAATATATTGTATATTTTATTGTTAGCGAATTAAAGTAGGAAAACAGAAGAAAGAGAGAATTCGTTAAAAAATATATGCTCAATGACAGACAGATCGATTGAGCATGATTTCTACGCATTTTGTCTTGTTATATGCTCGTTTTTGTTTTCAGTGAAAGCAAAATCAAATTTGAAAGGTCTTCATAAAATTATATTCTAAGTTTCGATTGATCTATTTTGATTAAAACACATATTTATAAGGATTAGATATCAATGTGAAATTTTTATAGAGTGAATATGAGGATATCATTCCATCATGGAATTCCGAGAATCGACTGAAGCGAATTTCATACTGTTTGGCATCGCGGAATAGAAATCACCTTCAGTGTAGATAGATAAGATATAGTAATATATCGAAATGTTTCGCTCGGAAAATAACGTTAATCCAACAAATACTGTCCGATACAAACAGAAGAATTATATTCGTGTAATTTAATTAAATGAAAAAAGAAAAGAAAATTTAATTCAATAAAAATGAAGTGCCCACTCTTGTTTGAATATGATTTCTTCTAAGTTAGAATATTTTATTAGAAATATTCGTCTTCAGAAGAGTCTGCTTTCGATTGATGGCCTAATTTTCGTTCTTCTTCTTCTTCTTCGAAAACAGCAAGACTCATTACTGGTTGATGTTTACCATCGTCTGACGAATGAATTCCATGAAAACCACCAACAACATAACATGATGTTTCTTTGTTATCTTTAGGTATTTCGATTAATTTCACGGGCACTGAAATGGTATCTAAACCAATTTTTTCCAAAGGTATGCCTTTCGAATTTTGATCAGCCCAATGACAACCAAAACAAAGACGAAGAAACCAACCACGGATACAATCTATCTGTATTGTACGAATACTAAGAAAATATACAAGATTACATAATTATAAGATATAAATTTTACTCAACTTACCCTGAAGGACCAGGCACACCAATTTTGGTATAATCGAAAATAGCATCCCAGAAATTATTATCTACATTACCTTTATACGTTTGAATAAATTGATCCAAAATGGGCAAGACTCCATCAAGATATTCACGAAAATTTTCTCTAGAGGAATTGTTTTGTGACGAAGGTAGAGTAAATTTTTTCAAATTCTCCGTCTTTTCGCGTAGTAATTCCCAATCTTGTAATGTACCTTTAAAATGTACATTTCGTATTCCACACCCACACACTAATTGAGTGTAGTCAAAATATTTTTTGAAAGTATGCATAATGCATACGGACGACAGAAGTTTTTCAACATATTTCGTTGTTGAAAAATTTGATGTAAGTATATCAACAATATTATTTTTTACGTGTTTACCGATTTCGACTTGCATTCCATTCAAGAAATTCGGCCAACTAAAATAATAGATTTGTTTTCCATTTACTAAACTTATTGGGCGAAAGAAAAACGTTTTTATTACTCACTCGGGTTCCATAGCATCTATTGCAACAACAAGTTCTTTCTTGCCTGTATGTTCAACAAACAAATCCCGCATCTGTTCGGCATGATCAACAACATAGCGAGCATAGTAAATATTGATCATAAGCCAAATGTCATCAGGCGATAAGACGATATCTTCATGTGCATTATAAGCGGCTAAATAAGCTTCAAATAAAGCATGACCCCCCTGAATGATATGTGTATGAGGTCCATTTGCTTGGAAATAAGCTTGTCGATATTTGTTTTTATTCGAGAAGCTTTTGAAGTCATCATAAACTCTTGACGCTTGTATCGATTTAGCCCAATATTGTTCCGATATGGATGAGTTCTTGTATTTACATCTACTAACCTTTTGATTACTGCTCGTGGCGAGCGATTGCGGTTCAAGATCACGGATACGAACTGTATGATACATCGTACTAGATCTAAAATGTTCTTCCAAGAATAAGAAAGAAAGGGTCAGAGTGTGAGTGAATGAGTGTCAAGCAAATCCATCAGCTCGCACTCATTCTCGTAACCTCCATTCACTACTAAATCTAAAATCGCCGTGCAAAATTTACCGACGATATGTAACATAGAGACCTACAGCTAGTCGATGGGTGGTCTAAGTGGAATACATCCACGCCCTCTCTCTGTATTTTCCTGGACCTGAAGAACTAGCATAGCATGGCAAGTTTAGTGGTCATAGCTGGTACGGGCAGCAGATACAAAACGATCAAGCGAAGAAACACAGAAATGTTCAACTTTTATAAAAAAAAAAAAAAAAAAAAAAAACGGAGAAAACTTCACTGAGAGTCAGCAAAGGCACAGTGGATCTCGCTCATCTTCCAACTCGACCGAGATATTGATGGAATAATACTATGCACCAAATCTCGTGACAATTGGATTGATCTTTTAGGAGTTACCGGATTAACGGTCGGACATGGTGACTAATTCCATAGTGTACTTGCGTTTTGAGTACACAAAAAGGACTTAAAAGAGAATGGAAAGCAAAGTAGTGGGAAATGATCGGAGATGGATGATAATTACCGAGACAATTAAAATAGGTTCCGACTGTTCCAGATCCCAATATCATAAACTATCACATCTGTTTCGCTGAAGTGTTACAAGCCGTGTGCTCTCACTTCCTTTATATAACGATAAAAAGGCACATACGCCTATTTTTTTCTGCTTCAAATGTATACAAAAGGACCACGTGTTTTACCTTTCGAAATGGCAAATAGTTTCTTCCTACTACCCACCGTTTTATTCTTTACATCAAAATGGATTTATTATCTCAACAGAACAGAAAAACGCTTTCTCTTAATGTATTTTGCATTTTCTTTTTTCAAAAAAGTCTTTTTGATGTTCTAGATAACAGGAAAAATAAATAATATAATTACACGTAGTCAAAGAAAAATATGTATATCTCCGCCCAAGGTTAATTCAATACTTCATTTTTCCTGGAATTTCTTCATACTGTTGCGATTTTATCGCATAGTTATACGAGACGCCAGTCTCTGATTGCTTAATATATACTACGGAAATTGACCTTATGAGACAAGATTCGACTGAGAAAACTACAAGTATGTCTCACGCACAGATGTTCATTGCGATCAAAAATCTGCCGCTGTACTCAATGAAAAAGCTCTCTAGGAAACAAAGCTTTAAAAATAAATGCAGACACTTCGGGTTTTATCCGGATGATGTCATAATCCCGTTACACCCAGTATTCATCCAAAAGCAGACAATTCCCAACGTTACCAGATGCAGCTGAGGAATGTGAGTGGATTTAGTGTATCCAGCTCGATACCCCCAAAAGGAGTATACTCGGGGAAGCTGAGGAATATGAGCGGATTTGGTGTATCCAGTCACCACCCTCACCCACCCCTCACACCCACCCACACCCTCACACACCCTTCATGACAAGCAACCACAATTAGATTTGAATTGTTCATTTCGAATATTCGATCAAAGAAAGTGATGTGGTCTCGTTTTACTTTTCTGGTCATGAAATTCAGTTCGAGGGAATTCCCAGGTCAAACTCAGCCCATCGGATCCGGTGGGGANCTCTCTTTTATTTCTGATCGAAATAAGACTCATGATTTTTACGGCAGTTCTCTCTTTATTGTCTCATATTTTACCTACTGCTCTCTCTTCTTCCTTTATAAACTAAGAAGTTCCGAAACCACAAACATCTTGTCTCTAATAGGATGCATTACAATTATGCTTATTGTGAATAAACGCATCCCTCTTTATTAATTAATAAAAGAATATATAATTCACAAAAAGCACGAACATCAATAAGCGATAAAATAGAATATATTTTTAGCAGTCTTATTAAGCTCAATGTTGCGACAAAAATTTTATATTTAAACTGAAAAGAACACGCGTCCATATAAAATCAATTGTATTTTGCTAATCCGTGGATGATGAGATAACTTGAATACGTCTACTCCTCCATTTTCTTATACAGAAGTCAACAAAACTAACGAATTTAGGTACGAACATTTTCAGCGCAGTAATCAAACCCCCAATTAATCCAAACAATGTATTTACAATGTAAATTGCACTGTTCTTTGTCGTTTTCGTATAACTACATTTGGATGGTTCACATTCACTATAATATTTTCCATATGTATTGGATGAATTCCATTTTTCAATCATCAATTTTTTGACAATATTTTCAATTGTTGAATCCTTCGAAAAATTATTCGATAACGGTTCATTAAGAGGCGTAAAATTGATTGATGCCGATTCACTAAAATAGGATTTTAATCTATTTATACAAGTAATATTATAAAAACATTGAAGATTCGATTGAAGTAATGCTTCAATTATATAACATCCAACATATAGGCCAGGTATTGAAAAACGTGACGTGCCATAAGAATCAGAGATTGTAGCTGTGACAACGCATCTAGGTGATGAATTGCATGTACAGTTATCATATGATCGTACGCGTTTCAAAGTGGCTCCACTTGATCTGTTAAATACATAATTAGTAAAATATCCATTAAGTAGGCTATTACTTTGAGTCATACTTCGTATCATCCTCAATGATATCAAAAAGTTCGCAGTTATAGAGGATATAAATTGAGAAATGGATGTATTAGTTTGTGATTCAAATAAGTCTAACGATACTAGAGATGCACTAACATATTGATTTGAATAGAACTGATCTAATTGAGTTGATATTGTCTCATTTACCAGCGAACATAATGTTTTCAAAGTTTGAAATGTACTCACCGCTATTGTACGAAAATTCATATGGTTTGCATCGGATGAATCTTGTGTGGCAAGACTTTTAATCCATTTTTGCGTAACAAAATCACTTTGACATACTTGATGTAAACTATATTGAATATCAATGAATTTTTTATAGTTAATGGATATTTCTGTACAATCACATGTTAGTGTTTGACTATGTTTATGATAAAGTGCCGAGTATTTTTGAAGAGATGGTTTTTCAACTTGAATAATTTGTATAATATTGATCAATGAATTATATAAGAGAAGAATGGATAAAGATAAAGTTAGAAGAATGATAAATAATCTTGTAGAAATGCGCTGTTTACGAAGTTTATGCTCATCGATGGTTGGAGGAATTGATGGAAATAGATTAAAAGTTAGAAGAAAAGCTTTTAATCTTTGATACACTATTCGCGGCAGTTGGTTCATATTGATTGCTAGAAAAGAATTACTCATGTAAGATTATGCTATATAATACATATCGTGATTATTTATATTCCAAAGAATTTATCTCATAGCATCAAAATAACATGCTCTTCCTTTAAGCTCATTATGTTTGAGTTCGTGTAAAATGAATATTATTTTTTCGCAACATTACAGAAGTTTTAACGGTGAAATAAGAAAACTGACAAAATTTCGTTAGATAATCAGAGCAAAACTATTTTTTGTCTTACCAATTCGTGTACTGGGGCGTCTTTTCATATTGCTTATAAACGTAACCAATCCAGGTACTAAAATTTTCAGAACAGTAGTCAAACCACCAAGCAATCCAATTACTGTAGTTACTATATAAAGTACACCATTTTTTGCTAACTTTGTATAAATACATTGTGATAGTTGACATTCATTATAATATTTTCCATATGTACTGGATGAATTCCATTTTTCAACCATCAATTCTTTGAGAATATTTTCAATTGTTGAATCCTTCAAAAACCTATTGGATAACGATTCATTAAGAGGTGTAACATTCATTGGTGTAGATTCAGTGAAATAGGATTTTAATGTATTTATGCAATTATTGTCATAAAAACATTGAAGATTCGATTGAAGTAATGCTTCAATTATATAACATCCAACATATAGACCAGGTATTGAAAAACGTGACGTGCCATAAAAATCAGAGATTGTAGCTGTGACAACGCATATATGTGATAAAGCACATGTACAATCACCATATTTACGGGGCCATGAACGCGCAGGTCCCCGATAATAGTCATATTCGAACATGAAATTAGTAAATAGTGAAGATACTAAAGCATTACTTTGAGTAATGTTTCGTATCATAGTAAGTGATGCTAAGAATTCTGCAGTGGTTGATGATTTAAATTGATCAATGAATGTTGTAGTTTGTGATTCAAATATGTCCTTGGGTGTTACAAATGCACTTATATATTGATTCGAATAGAATTGAGTTAAACGATTCGATATTGTCTCATTTACAAGTGAACATAATGTACTTAAACCTTGAAATATATATGCAAAGTGGCAACTGTAGAGAATGGTAAGATATATAAATCATAGGATCATCTTATAAGTTAGGTAGTCTACATAGAAATAACTTGATAGTGATCGAATGGACCTAGTCGGGCAACTATAGTTTCATAGAAAAATTATACTTTGTAGTCTAAAGCATCGAGAAAAAATATTTATAATACTGATCTTCTAATTTATTAAATATCAAATTTTTTAATATGCTTTTTTACTAAAGAACCGACCGAACGAAAACCAAAACTTGGTATATTGAGAAGAACACAAGATTTTTCGTATCAATTTAATCTATTTCCATCAATTCCTCCAACTACTGATGAACATAAACTACGTAAACAGCGCGTTTCAACGAGATTACTTATCCTTCTTCTAATCGTATCATTATTTACTCTTCTCCTATATACTGCATCGATCAATATTACACAAATTATTCAAGTTGAAAAACCATCTCTTCAAAAATACTTTGAACTTTATCGTATACATGGTCAAACATTATCATGTAATTGTACAGAAATATCCATTNCAATGTTGTCAAAGTTGGCAATGTGCTCACCGCTATTGTACGAACATTCATATTGTTTGCATCGGATGAATCTTGTGTGGCAAGACTTTTAATCCATTTTTGAGTAACAAAATCACTTTGACATACTTGATGTAAACTATATTGAATATCAATGAATTTTTTATAGTTAATAGATATTTCTGTACAATCACATGTTAATGTTTGGCCATGTATACGATAAAGTTGAGAGTATTTTTGAAGAGATGGTTTTTCAACTTCAATAGTTTGTGTAACATTGATCAATGAATTATATAAAAGAAGAATGGATAATGATAAAGTTAGAAGAATGATAAATAATCTTGTAGAAATGCGCTGTTTACGAAGTTTATGTTCATCGGTGGTCGGAGGAATTGATGGAAATAAATTAAAAGTTAGAAGAAAAGCTTTTAATCTTTGATACACTATTCGCGGCAGTTGGTTCATATTGATTGCTAGAAAAGAATTACTCAAGTAAGTTTATGCTATACAATACATATCGTGATTATTTATATTCCAAAGAATTTATCTCATAGCATCAAAACAACATGCTCTTCCTTTAAGCTCATTATGTTTGAGTTCGTATAAAATGAATGTTATTTTTTCGCAATATTACAGAAGTTTTAACGGTGAAATAAGAAAACTGACAAAATTTCGTTAGATAATCATAGCAAACCTATTTTTTGTCTTACCAATTCGTGTACTGGGGCGCCTTTTCATATTGCTTATAAACGTAACCAATCCAGGTACTAAAATTTTCAGAACAGTAGTCAAACCACCAAGCAATCCAATTACTGTGGTTACTATATAAAGTACACCATTTTTTGCTAATTTTGTATAAATACATTGTGATGGTTGACATTCATTATAATATTTTCCATATGTTCTTGATGGATTCCATTTTTCAACCATCAATTTTTTGAGAATATTTTCAATTGTTGAATCCTTCGGAAAACTATTCGATAACGATATATTAAGAGCTGTAACATTCATTGGTGTAGATTCAGTGAAATAGGATTTTAATTTATTTATACAAGTAATATTATAAAAACATTGAAGATTCGATTGAAGTAATGCTTCAATTGTATAACATCCAACATATAGACCAGGTATTGAAAAAGGTGACGTGCCATCATAAGGATCAGAGATTGTAGCTGTGACAACACATCTAGGTGATAAAGCACATGTACAATCACCATATTTACGGGGAGATGAACTCGCAGGTCCCCGATAATAGTTATATGCGAGCTTGAAATTAGTAAATAGTGAAGATACTAAAGCATTGCTCTGCGTGGTATTTCGCATCATAGTCAATGATAATAAAAAGTCATGAACTGTTGATAATTTAAATTGATCAATGAATGTTGTAGTTTGTGATTCAAATATGTCCTTGGGTATTACAAATGCACTTATATATTGATTCGAATAGAATTGAGTTAAACGATTCGATATTGTCTCATTTACAAGTGAACATAATGTACTTAAGCCTTGAAATATAAATGCCCCTACCATTCGAAAGTTCATGTGCTCTTTCAGAACACCACCAAATGATATGGCAAGATAATTAATCCATTTTTGAGTAATAAAATCACTTTGACATACTTGATGTAAACTATATTGAATATCAATGAATTTTTTATAGTTAATAGATATTTCTGTACAATTACATGATAATGTTTGGCCATGTATATGATAAAGTTCCGAGTATTTTTGAAGAGATGGTTGTTCAACTAGAACGGTTTGTGTAATATTGATCGATGCAGTATATAAGAGAAGAGTAAATAATGATATGATTAGAAGAAGGATAAGCAATCTCGTTGAAACGCGCTCATTACGAAGTTTCTGTTCATCAGTAGTTGGAGGAACTGATGGAAATAGATTAAATTTATACGAAAAATGTTGTATTCTTCTCAATATACCAAGTTTTGGTTTTCGTTCGGTCGGTTCTTTAGTAAAAAAAAGCATATTCAAAAATTTGATATTTAATAAATTAGAAGATCAGTATTATAAATATTTTTTCTCGATGCTTTAGACTACAAAGTATAATTTTTCTATGAAACTATAGTTGCCCGACTAGGTCCATTCGGTCACTATCAAGTTATTTCTATGTAGACTACCTAACTTATAAGATGATCCTATGATTTATATATCTTACCATTCTCTACAATTGCCACTTTGCATATATATTTACTGAAAAAATTGACAAATATTGGAACAGCTACATTCAAAACTGTAATCAAACCACCAAGCAATCCAATCACTGTAGTTACAATGTACAGTGCGCTATTCTTTGCTATCTTAGTGTAGACACATTTTAATGGTTTACATTCATTATAATAATTCTGATATGTAGTTGGTGAATTCCACTCTTCGACCATCAGATGATTAAGTAAGTCTCCAATTGTTGAATCTTCAAAAAAACGCTTAGACAGTGATATATTAAGAGCTGAGACATTCATAGATGTTGATGGATCTAAATTCAATTTTATTTCATCAACACAAGTTTGGTCGAAAAAACATTCCAAAGTTGAATCTAGCAAAGCTTCAACTGTATAGCATCCTAAATAGAAACCTGGAACCAAAAACGTTTGTTTAAATTCAGGATACTTCAAAATCGTATATTGTTCGGTACATGTAGCTGACGAAGAACAAACACAATCATCGTAGAATATAGGTTTTGAAAATACTAAGTTGTTGGTATTAACGTATAGTCTATAATTAGTAAATTGTCCAGAAACTAAAGCATTACTTTGAGTAATGTTTCGTATCATCGCAAGTGATGCTAAGAATTCTGCAGTGGTTGATAACAAAAATTGAGAAATAAATGTTTCAGTTTGGGATTCCAATACAACTGAAGGTATTAGAGATGCACTTATATATTGATTTGAATAGAACTGAATTAATTGAGTTGATACTGTTTCATTTACCAACACACAAAATGTATTCAAAGCTTGAAATGCATAGGAACTTCTTACTCGAAAAGCATCATAAAATGTATCACCGTTTCCAGGTGCATTCGCAAGATAATTAATCCATTTTTGAGTAACAAAATCACTTTGACATACTTGATGTAAACTATATTGAATATCAATGAATATTTTATAGTTAATGGATATTTCTGTACAATCACATGTTAGTGTTTGACTATGTTTCTGATAAAGTGCCGAGTAGTTTTGAAAAGATGGTTTTTCAACTTGAATAATTTGTGTAATATTGATCAATGAATTATATAAGAGAAGAGTGGATAATGATATCGTTAAAAGAGAAATAAGCAATCTTGTTGAAATGAGTTGATTACGAAGTTTATGTTTATCAGTAGTTGGAGGAATTGATGGAAATAAATTGAAAGTTAGAAGAAAAAGTTCGCATTTATGGAATAAATTAGAAATAATCATCTCTTATTCTTTCCGAAGGTATCTAAAGCAAATAGATATAGAACGAAAGACATACTGGAATTAAAATGTAGTTGGCATTTGCATAAAAAAATAGATCAAAAGTTTATTAAAAGCGAAACGATTTGAGTGAAATAGGCTGCTAATATAAGATTAATATTATGGCCCACACAAAAAGAAGTTCACGACAAGGATAGCCAGAGCTACTAAAGCTTTCTACTTATTAGAAGTCCTCGTGAGAGGTTCTATCAGATCTCAAAAGCGTTGCATCTCTTTTTTTTTAATCTTGATTTTCATTGTTTTTAACTATAATTTTGTTGAAATGTTGACTGAGACAGTTTACTTCCGTATCCTACTCAAAACATTTTAATGTTTTCATTATGCTGTGTTGCTACAACATACTCATATTTGATATTATCTATTTAAAAATTAATTTTCATAAAGGAAGCGAGTTTATTATTTTTACTGACGTCTGATTTAAATGTTGTGTTTTCCAGCAGGTGTTTCAATAAATATGTTACTTTATTGCGTTGATGAATATAATTTCTATAGAAATGAATATTCTTTTTCAATAGCATATAAAATACTTTTCATTTTCATCTGATTTACACAAAACAATGTCAAAACAGGCACGAATATGTTGATTAGAAACGACTTTTACTATGTTAATCAGACAGAAAAACATACTAAACACTACCCCAGCATTGTATATGTGTTGTATTAACTTGTTGAAAATTGATATAGAATGTTAATGATTAAAAAATTTGAATTTTTTTCTCCGGATTTTCGCATTTCCTTTTTTATTGGGAAACGCTTTACTACTGAGAAATGCATAAAAAAGTAAAGAGAAGCCAGATGTTACCCAAAGTAGACAATTTGAAAATATTTGTATGAAGACTAACGGTAAGTATAGTTTCTTCTACACAAAAGGGAGAAAAAGCTTTTACAGAAATATATTAAAACAGCTTATAGTCTTTGCCCATGTTTCCACTTTTTTACGCGTGAGTCGCAGATGCTCATAGTTACGATCCAAAGCTCGGAATTAAGGGACACAGTGCGTTTGTAGTTATGTGTAACTGCCGTCCACGTCAGACGTATACGAAGAAAAACTGTAAGATACGGCTATCGTATATGATCATCGTATTACACAAATTACGACACTTATTTCGGTTCATCCCGTGGATTCCTTTTCCAAACTAGAACCGATACATTTTCTACTAAAACAGAAAACCCAACACTCGATTTATGTTTTCGACTCTGTTTGTCGTTCGATGGATCTTTATAATAGGTTTTTCTCTCGTAGAAAGGTGTTCCTTTAGATGGAAACAGTTGTTCCTTAAACCTTTTTGGAAAACTATTACCAGATTCGTGTTCTCTGGCTCAAGTTATTTTCCGATGCATTTTTATTCGAAAAATTTTGGCAAAAATGCTTCTCTACATGAAAAAGAGCGATTTTAGACGAAAAACTGCGTCGCAATTACGCTCAGTGGTCAGAGTGTGGGTGAGGGTGAGTGTTAATATCTTAGTGCCACCGTCACCAACATTCACCTTCACAAATTTTATGTTATCTCATTACGATTATATGCGTTGCAATTACGGGTCATAGTGCGTTTGCAGTTGCGCGCAATTGCGATGCATTTTAATCGTAATGAGATGCATGCAAGGGGAGAAAAGGGGATCCTAGAACAAATTCATCATATTGCAGTAAATCCATCAAAATTTTACCAAATTCGAGAAAAAATCAATAGAATGTCTGAAAAAGTGCTATAACTTGTCAAAAGGGACGCCATTCATCCGAAATAAGACATGATTTTTAAAGAAATAAGAATATGGATCCTATTGAATCCTGGTGGGGTGACGATGATCATTGAATAAAATAGCTAAATGCAAGGATCTAGGATCCGCTTTTCTCCCTTGGTTTATTCTGTGTTGTCTGTGAGTAATTCTGTAGATAATTCACTTGTTTACTAAAAAGGACTCTCAAATGAAACGAATCCCAATAGATCCTGGTGAATTTTAAAAGATCTTTTTAGACCCTTATGAATCCATTAGGATACGCTTTTTCGCCCTTGGGTACATGGGTACCCAGGCTTCCCTAGTTCTACCTTTGGATAGATCTAACCTTCAATTCCCCAAAATCTCATTCAGTCTTTTCATCCTCATCTTCGAGACATATCCTATGTATATAGTTTGAGCTGTTGAAAAGCGATTTATCAATGGCATTGGGTTAATCATAAATCGTGTACATTAGACTACAGTTTCATGAGAAAAAAACAACATAGTATTTCTATCCTTACAGAACAACAATGGAACAATCGTCAGATCAAGAAATCTCTTCTCCTTCAAAGTAATATCTAATTATTAATTTAATATTTTTTATCTGAACAATAATTTATAGACTAGAAATTCATGTATCCAAGAAATCTCGATTTCTTCTTTGGATTTGGTTTTTAATGACAATCTCCATTTTTATTATAATTATATTTTTCATTATATTCATTCGTATTCAATCAGTATTCTTTGTCCTTGATGACAAACCTAATATTGGTAAGAAGAAATTTTGAGAGTGTAGTTGACGGTTCTTATGTAAAGAAAATATACTTTCACCCTTCTTATGAACTATTTATAGAAACCACGATCATCTCACAAAGATCTACAAGAGCAACTCGAGTGAAATTAATGTCTACAGAAAGTAAGAATAAAAGCAAAATAGTTAATATGTTTATAAGTGGTTTTATTTAGTGATAACATCAAAGCCAAGTAATATTTCTCGCGGTAATTTGTAACTGTATTAGGAGTGATTTATTTACATATACATTCTTTTTGTAGTCATTCCCTGTAATCCATTAAAATTTTCAAAATATTCATCATATTCAACTGGAAGAACTCCTTGGTCACTTAGTAGTGGTCATTTAGATGAAGACCCATATCTTGATATTGTTGTTGTTTTTCGAAGTATTGCTACATTTCGATTATATTATGGTATCGGAAATGGAACATTTCAACCAGAAAAAGAATATGGCAATTATCCATATCCAGTTTATGTTGCTGTTAAAGATATAAATCATGATAATAAATCCGATATAATAATACCTTTTCTTGGTATAGAAACAATTGGAATTTTCATTAATAGGGGAAGTCGCAGTTTTAGTTCAATAGAAAAACATTACACTGGATATTATCAGATCGACTATTATCCATACTGGATCGATATATCAGATTTTAATCATAATTCACTATTAGATGCTGTTGTTGTTAATGGTCATGATGCTTCTGTAACTATTTTCTACGATTATTCTAATTCAAATTTTACCTATACAAAAATATATCCAACTGGACATGATTGTATAGCTGTGTCAATTGCAGATTTTGATAATGATACTTATAAAGATTTTGCTGTTACTGATTATAGTGATAATACAATAAGTGTTTACATAAATGATAAAAATGGATTTTTTAAACGGCGAAAAAAATATCAAGCTGGAGTCGCACCATGGGGAATGACAACTGCTGATTTAAATAATGATCAATTCGCCGATATTATTGTTGCTAATCATGGTTCATCCATAGTTAGTGTTTTGTTTAATGATGGACAAGGACATTTTTATAAACGCGATACGTATTATATTGGCGGTAGGCCAATGCCAGTTGCAGTAGCTGATTTAAATAATGATTCATTTATGGATATTATTGCTTCGAATTATAAGGATAATTTCATTTATATCTTTTTGAATAATCAAGATGGAACATTTCTCCCTTATCAAACATTTCAAACTGATCCTGAAATCCTTGCAATAATAACAGGAGATTTTAATCTTGATGGCAAAATAGATATTGCTGTTACTTCTGAAGGAAAAGATACTTTAAATATTCTTTTAAATTTATGTTAAAATCACTTCATATAACTATTTTATTATCGACTGATGATCGACTTATATAATTCTTATTTGAATCAGAGGCGTGTGGGACAGCAGTTTTTTGATACTGCGCGGGCTCCGACCCTTCATCGTGTAGAAAATTATTTTGTCCTCCTCCGCCTGTATTTTCCGAGAACAGTTTTCTTGGTGATCATATTTTTTTATTAGCAGTTTATTTTACATAATTTATTTATTCATCATAAAGAATCTATCGCGAAAAAATATTTCAAAATGAATACTTTTAGAAACCTTAAATTTAACTTATTTTCTGTAATGAGAAATAATCGGTTGTTTATGGAATTTCAATTGAGAAAGTTGTTAATTTTAGTATTCCTTTCCTTATTGGCGCTAATATTGTTGTCCATAAGATAAAGTATTACTATTCTTTTTTCAATAATTTTCATTACGCTTTTTCTTATTACTGGTGATAACATCATGTTTCCTAGTATGGAGATGTTTCCTTTGTTGCTTTTAGTAATAATTTTCTACTTCTACTTAATGCTTTTAAAAATTAAAAATTATTTTATTCATGTTAGTTTCAAGTAACATATGAAATTGTATGTTCATGTGATATGTCGAATATGTTTATCAATAACTGAATAAAATCCGCATGTGAAAAGTCGAATGAATTCTCACTTTGTATAAAAAATAATAAGAAATTTCTATAATAAATTGTTATTCATATAGAAGGACATCTTTACAATAGATACGAGTGGATAAATTTTGATCGTATAGATATGTAATCATCTTGGTGAATGAATTTATCAATGTGTCAAATAGTAAAACTATGAATTCACAACCTATATTCCACGTATACGTATTGATTATCGAAATCTTTATCTTTTTGGAAAATTTATTAATAAATAGATTTATTTAAAAATTTTGCTTTAAATTTAACTAATCATATGAATCAATCTGAATGACGTCAATTACGTTTAGGAAAAATTCATGCTGATCATCGTCTTCTTCGTAGTCGAATATATACTATTAGTTCTCATGATGATATTAATTCAAATGGTCAATCAATTGAAAATTTAAATAAAATAAAAATTAAAAATGGCTGAACTTTTTGATTAGTTTGTACCAAATTGTCAATAAGAAATTCATATATTCGATACGTATCATCATATAGATATATCTGTCAATCGATGAGGTACAGAAGAAGTTGCAACGAATTGTAACGGTGCTATTCTTTTAGGCACCATGGATGAATCTGTTGAAAGAGGATTAAAATCTTGGATACGTGGTACATGAGTACCATTTAGAAAATGAGTGCATATTCTTCTGGGTCAAAATTATTGGACAATAACAATTTTATTACAGGATCAATACATATCGAATCTGGAATAATTGTAAGAGCTTTTACAGATTTTTCATTCTTATCTTTCTATATTTTACTTATAAACTGAAAGAAATCATTTCTATTCAATTATTAGTAATATTAAAAATGAAGAAGAATTAGAACAGCGATGTTTAATTAAACTAGTTCATGCATTAATAATAGGTGCAAGTGGTTGTGAAGCATTTCGTCATAATCCATATATTGAAGCAAAATTACAGTAGAAATCCTCAGAGAAAAACGAATATCGAAATGAATCATTCAAACAAATTATTTTTGCTATCTTAGATAAAGAAAATAGTCATAATTAGATTACTTTTCGAAATGAATTTGAAAATACAAAAATAAATAACGAGCGTATGAATATGTAAAATATATTTTTAATGAAACTATCCTTTTTTGTGATAAAAATATGACAGGAATATTTATTTCCTTTGGCATATAAAAATATTTTATTATGAATCAAATTATATCGTTCGACGTATTATATAGATAAAATTCTTATAAACCACCTAATCAGACAATGCAAAAGATGAGAGTGTGAATGATCATGATGAAATTGATGTGCAAATATCCTACCCCCACTCTCAAGAAGGATAGTGTAACCCATCGGTGCCTCACATCGTCTCAAAAGAATTAATAATTTCTGCGTACTAAATAGAGTCAATTATAAAGAAAAAAATGGCAGAGATTCTTTTATCTATACAGGAAAGAAAAAAAAGAATATAATATGATTTTGTCAGAAATCAAAGTACATAAAGTGTTCTTTTTTTTGTAAATGCCATTCACTCGTGCAGGATCTCATCGAATTCGATGTTGAATTGGTGCATTTGTTTGTATTTCGCCTTTTTTACACATAATGTGAACTATAAGAAATCAAGCGATAAGAAAGTTCAATATTCCCGTCCAATGGTGTATGCTACGGTATAATTAATATTAGTCTGTTGTCAAATAGTTATACTTATCGAAGTATACATGATATTCGAATTTGAATCCAAAGTTTCCGCATTTTTTCTTAATAAATCTGAACATTTTGTTATAGTTCATAGTTTTATCAGTCAAACATTTCTTCATTGCAATATAGTTTTTCTCTTTTAAAGAAAATCTCAAAAAACTCTCGATACATTTTTTTTCTTCAGAAAACAATGTAAAATTAACATCTGTTTCTTATTTTATTCCTTATTCTTTTTTAAAGCAAATGGAACACTTAGCATTACATGGGCGAAAAATAAATGTCATTATTCTTTCATTAATTATGATTTACACACATTATTTCTTTTTATTAACCCAAGATTTACACGTGTAAACATTCAAAGCATTCATTTTATCTTACTACATTGACAAACCTTTTTTTAATGGAAGATTATTTATGATGGTGGAAAACCGAATAGGAGTTATTGAAGTAATTTATTAACAAAATAAGACAAAAAAACATAAACCTTTTTCTCATTATAGTCTCAACCACATGAGAGAAATTCATCAGAAATACCATCAACTTCTTCGTCAAAATTATGGTAAGAGTAGTATCAGAATTAGAACAAAAGTAATCGTTTTCTTTTATTAAGTTTTGAATATTGCCAAAAGAAATGGAAAAAGATTTTATTTATTATCATTCTATCAATATTAGTAGTCATTGGAATTTCTTTTGTGACAAAAATTGTGGCAAATAAATATTCAGGAATATTGATAACTAAAATAAGAAAAACAACCTCGACAACAACTTCAACAACAACTTCAACAACTACTGCGACTACAACTTCAATAACAACTTCAACAACAACAACTAGAAGTAATATTTAAATGAATAGTTAAGAAAATATGTTTGATTATTTATTTCTATGGACTGTGTAGACTCAACGTTGTAGGAGAAGCAATTAATTTTATTAAACCAACAGTAACAACACGTGTTCCGCAAGTCGAAACATTGAGAGAGCGCCAGTAGTTTTTGTAAAATGTTCTGGAAACTTTTTAAAATATTGAACCATTTAAATATCTATCAGAATATCAAAACTTCAGCGCAACAATAACTTCATTCCTTTTACTAAATTTTTTCCAGGAAAAGCTATTGATTTCCCTCGTTTTCATGCCGCACCGCCTATATTGATGTCAATTTTCTGATATTTATGTTGGTAATATACAAATAATGATAGACTAAAACATATAGTGAGCGCAAAGAAATATCTTTTTTTTCTTTCCATATACATCTATATATAATACCTATTAGATATTAAGTAATAATTAACGCTTACTTTTCAAAACAAATGTTTTAACATCTTTATCTTTCTTATCTAGAATGGACTGATGCTGGGCGATTGAATATACCTCGGGAATATCATTCATCAACGGTATTATCCGATGGAAAAGTATTAGTTACTGGTGGACAGTTTAAGAGTTCTATTGTTTCTGATTGTGAATTATATGATCCATTAACAAATCAATCGACACTCGTCGCAAAGATGTCTGTTGAAAGAAAACATCATACTGCATCTTTATTGTCAAATGGATTAGTATTAGTTACTGGAGGCGTAAATGATGGCACGACTCATAATAGCGCTGAATTGTATAATGTATCAGGGGATAAATGGATGTTGACAAGAAATATGACATATTCACGAGCTGAGCACATAGCAACTGTCTTAAATAATGGAACCGTATTAGTGACTGGTGGAACCGATATGGATTCTAAAGTGTTAAGAACTGCTGAATTGTTTGACATCTCGACAGGTATATGGACAGTGACAGAAGCAATGACGTGTAAGCGTTCCTCTCATGCAGCATCTTTATTAAAGGACGGAAATGTGCTGATCACTGGTGGATCAGATTTTTGTTTTTCATCTAGTGATTATGATCGCAGTGAATTATATGATCCAATGACAAAAACATGGTCACTGCTAAACGAAATGAATCTTGTACGTGAAGGTCACACATCAACTGTATTAAGTGATGGAAAAGTTTTAGTCACAGGTGGCTTTAGTGCTGTGGTTCAAATATCAGAATCTGTTGAATTATATGATCCATCCACGAAAATGTGGACAGTCACAAAACATATGAATTATCGACGTGTGCGTCATACTGCATCTTTATTATCAAATGGAATAGTCTTGATCACTGGTGGAACTGATGGTCATACGAGGCTAGATACTACTGAATCGTATGATCCATCAACAGATACTTGGTCTTTAATCAATTCGATGAAGATAGGTCGTCAATATCATACAGCATCCACATTAATGGATGGGCGAGTGTTAGTTATTGGTGGAATTCGTTACGATGACAATGACAATGCAGATCTCACAGAACTCTATTAGTTATTTTTAAAAGAAAAATCTCTTTTGACTTTACATATTCTCTTTATTGTGTGAATAAAAGCTTAAAAACTATTTATTTTCATATTTCTTTATTTCTATAGTTTTAATGTTGTCAAATAAACTATTCTGCATGTCTTGAGAATTCACCACGTTTTCGTTTGTTAACTATACTTATAATATAAATTAAATTACAATATCTTATATTTGTAAAATAATATTTCCATTTGTATTTTCATATAAGAGCTGTCAATGGAATTATTAACTAATGTCTAAAGTTCAGTTAATTACTATTATTCTTATATGAATTAACTTATGTTTTATTTGATAACTATGAAGACATACAAATAGCTAAGATTGATTTCAATTGCTTTCTCCTTTAATAAAATTATTAGATGGAAATGTTATGTATCACGTCAATGATTCTATTAGAAACTAAGAATAAGAATTGAAAGTGTATTAATTAGAATTATCTCAATGATATATAGAGAAAGATAAATAATATAGATATGAATCGTTACATGTGCATACTCTTAAGATTATACTAACAAGGGAACATATCCAGGTGTGTCCCGGGGATTTTAATGGAAATCATGTGGGTGTGTTGACCTAAGTATACCTATCTCAGGTGTGAAACAATTAGGTGCTCTTACTATCTTAGTAAAAAATATAGGCAAAACACTTTTCATAATATTAACACATATATATCGCTATACTATGTGTATTTCNCTAGAACCGATACATTTTCTACTAGAACAGAAAACCCAACACTCGATTTATGTTTTCGACTCTGTTTGTCGTTCGATGGGTCTTTATAATAGGTTTTCCTCTCGTAGAAAGGTGTTCCTTCAGATGGAAACAGTTGATCCTTAAACCTTTTTGGAAAACTATTACCAGATTCGTGTTCTCTGGCTCAAGTTATTTTCCGATGCATTTTTATTTGAAAAAGAGCGATTTTAGACGAAAAACTGCGTCGCAGCCCTCGCAGTGAGATATACAGATCGAGTGTTGCACTTATTGTGCCGCGGTGATCGCCCTTTTCGGAAATGCTTCAGTTTTTAATGAATTATTCAATAATCCAATTATATATTGATTTTACAGCTTATTTATTGGCTAATACCGAACGCCAACAGTTTTAGAACTCTCATTAGGTATAAAAGGCAGCGCTATCATCGTTTGAATTCATTTTCTTTATTTAGTTTTGTTTTTAACTTATTCTTGAGGGTGAGGGTGTGAGGGTGAGTGTTAATATCTTAGTGCCACCCTCACCAACATTCACCTTCACAAATTTTATGTTATCTCATTACGATTATATGCGTTGCATGCAAGGGGAGAAAAGGGGATCCTAGAACAAATTCATCATATTGCAGTAAATCCATCAAAATTTTACCATATTCGAGAAAAAATCAATAGAATGTCTGAAAAATTGCTATAACTTGTCAATAGCGACACTATCCATCCGAAATAAGACATCATTTTTAAAGAAATAAGAATATGGATCCTATTGAATCCTGGTGGATGACGATGATCATTGAATAAAATAGCTAAATCCAAGGATCTAGGATCCGCTTTTCTCCCTTGACTTATTCTGTGTTGTCTGTGAGTAATTCTGTATATAATTCACTTGTTTACTAAAAAGGACTCTCAAATGAAACGAATCGCAATAGATCCTGGTGAATTCTAAAAGATCTTTTTAGACCCTTATAAATCCATTAGGATACGCTTTTTCGTCCTTGGGTACATGGGACCCAGGCTCCCCTAGTTCTGCCTTTGGATAGATCTAACCTTCAATTCCCCAAAATCTCATTCAGTCTTTTCATCCTCATCTTCGAGACATATCCTATGTATATAGTTTGAGCTGTTGAAAAGCGATATATCAATGGCATTGGGTTAATCATAAATCGTGTACATTAGACTACAGTTTCATGAGAAAAAAACAACATAGTATTTCTATCCTTACAGAACAACAATGGAACAATCATCAGATCAGGAAATCTCTTCTCCTTCAAAGTAATATCTAATTATTAATTTAATATTTTTTATCTGAACAATAATTTATAGACTAGAAATTCATGTATCCAAGAAATCTCGATTTCTTCTTTGGATTTGGTTTTTAATGACAATCTCCATTTTTATTATAATTATATTTTTCATTATATTCATTCGTATTCAATCAGTATTCTTTGTCCTTGATGACAAACCTAATATTGGTAAGAAGAAATTTTGAGAGTGTAGTTGACGGTTCTTATGTAAAGAAAATATACTTTCACCCTTCTTATGAACTATTTATAGAAACCACGATCATCTCACAAAGATCTACAAGAGCAACTCGAGTGAAATTAATGTCTACAGAAAGTAAGAATAAAAGCAAAATAGTTAATATGTTTATAAGTGGTTTTATTTAGTGATAACATCAAAGCCAAGTAATATTTCTCGCGGTAATTTGTAACTGTATTAGGAGTGATTTATTTACATATACATTCTTTTTGTAGTCATTCCCTGTAATCCATTAAAATTTTCAAAATATTCATCATATTCAACTGGAAGAACTCCTTGGTCCTTTAGTAGTGGTCATTTAGATGAAGACCCATATCTTGATATTGTTGTTGTTTCTCGAAGTGGTGCTAGATTTGGATTATATTATGGTATCGGAAATGGAACATTTCAACCAGAAAAAGTATATGACAGTTATCAATATCCAGTTTATGTTGCTGTTAAAGATATAAATCATGATGATAAATCCGATATAATAATACCTTTTTCTGGTATAGATACAATTGGAATTTTCATTAATAGGGGAAGTCGCATTTTTAGTCCAATAGAAAAACATTATACTGGATATTATCGGATCGACTATTATCCATACTGGATCGATATATCAGATTTTAATCATAATTCACTATTAGATGCTGTTGTTGTTAATGGTCATGATGCTTCTGTAAGTATTTTCTACGATTATTCTAATTCAAATTTTACCTATACAAAAATATATCCAACTGGACATGATGGTATAGCTGTGTCAATTGCAGATTTTGATAATGATACTTATGAAGATTTTGCTGTTACTGATTATAGTGATAATACAATAAGTGTTTACATAAATGATAAAAATGGATTTTTTAAACGGCGAAAAAAATATCTAGCTGGAATTGCACCATGGGGAATGACAACTGCTGATTTAAATAATGATCAATTCGTCGATATTATTGTTGCTAATCATGGTTCATCCAGAGTTAGTGTTTCGTTTAATGATGGACAAGGACATTTTTATAAACGCGATACGTATTGTATTGGCGGTACGCCAAAAGCAGTTGCAGTAGCTGATTTAAATAATGATTCATTTATGGATATTATTGCTTCGAATTATAAGGATAATTTCATTTATATCTTTTTGAATAATCAAGATGGAACATTTCTCCCTTATCAAACATTTAAAACTGATCCTGAAATCCTTGCAATAACAACAGGAGATTTTAATCTTGATGGCAAAATAGATATTGCTGTTACTTCTGAAGGAGAAGATACTTTAAATATTCTTTTAAATTTATGTTAAAATCACTTTATATAACTATTTTATTATCGACTGATGATCGAGTTATATAATTCTTATTTGAATCAGAGGCGTGTGGAACAGCATTTTTTTGATACTGCGCGGGCTCCGACCCTTCATCGTGTAGAAAATTATTTTGTCCTCCTCCGCCTGTATTTTCCGAGAACAGTTTTCTTGGTGATCATATTTTTTTATTAGCAGTTTATTTTACATAATTTATTTATTCATCATAAAGAATCTATCGCGAAAAAATATTTCAAAATGAATACTTTTAGAAACCTTAAATTTAACTTATTTTCTGTAATGAGAAATAATCGGTTGTTTATGGAATTTCAATTGAGAAAGTTGTTAATTTTAGTATTCCTTTCCTTATTGGCGCTAGTATTGTTGTCCATAAGACAAAGTATTACTATTCTTTTTTCAATAATTTACATTACGCTTTTTCTTATTACTGGTGATAACATCATGTTTATTTGTTGCTTTTAGTAATAATTTTCTACTTGTACTTGATGCTTTTTAAAATTAAAAATTATTTTATTGATGTTAATTTCAAGTAACATATGAAATTGTATGTTCATGTGATACGTCGAATATGTTTATCAATAACTGAATAAAATCCGCATGTGAAAAGTCGAATGAATTCTCACTTTGTATAAAAACTAATAAGAAATTTCTATAGTAAATTGTTATTCATATAGAGAGACATCTTTACCATAGATACGAGTGGATAAATTTTGATCGTACAGATATGTAGTCATCTTGGTGAATGAATTTATCAATGTGTCAAATAGTAAAACTATGAATTCACAACCTATATTCCACGTATACGTATTGATTATCGAAATCTTTATCTTTTTGGAAGATTTATTAATAAATAGATTTATTTAAAAATTTTGCTTTAAATTTAACTAATCATATGAATCAATCTGAATGACGTCAATTACGTTTAGGAAAAAGTCATACTGATCATTGCCTTCTTCGTAGTCCAATATATACTATTAGGTCTCATGATGATATTAATTCAAATGGCCAATCAATTGAAAATTTAAATGAAATAAAAATTAAAAATGGTTGAACTTTTTTATTAGTTTGTACCGAATTGTCAATAAGAAATTCATATGTTCGATACGTATCATCATATAGACATATTTGTCAATCGACGAGGTACAGAAGAAGTTGCAACGAATTGTAACGGTGCTGTTCTTTTAGGCACTATAGGTGAATCTGTTGAAAGAGGATTAAAATCTTGGATACGTGGTACATGAGTATCATTTCATTTAGAAAAGGAATGCATATTCTACTGGGTCAAAATTATTGGGCAATAACAATTTGTATTACAGGACCAATACATGTCGAATCTGGAATAATTGTAAGCGCTTTTGCAGATTTTCATTCTTATCTTTCTATATTTTATTCATACACCGAAAGAAATAATTTCTATTCAATTACTAGTAATATAAAAAATGAAGAAGAATTAGAACAACGATGTTTAATTAAACAAGTTCATTCATTAATAACAGGTGCAAGTGGTTGTGAAGCATTTCGTTATAATCCATATATTGAAGCAAAATTACAGTAGAAATCCTCAGAGAAAAGCCAATATCGAAATGAATTTGAAAATACAAAAATAAATAACGAGCGTATGGATATGTAAAATATATTTTTAATCAAACATTACTTTTTTTGTGATAAAAATATGACAGGAATATTTATTTCCTTTGGCATATAAAAGTATTTTATTATGAATAAAATTATATCGTTTGACGTATTATATAGATAAGATTCTTATAAACCACCTAATCAGACAATGCAAAAGATGAGAGTGTGGATGATCATAATGAAATTGATGTATAAATATCCTACCCTCACTCTCAAGAAGGATAGTGTAACCTATCGGTGCCTCACATCGTCTCCAAAGAATTAATAATTTCTGGGTACTAAACAGAGTCAATTAGAAAGAAAAAAATGACAGAGATTCTTTTATCTATACAGGAAAGGAAAAAAAAGAATATAATATGATTTTGTCAGAAATCAAAGTACATAAAGTGTTCTTTTTTTGTAAATGTCATTCACTCCTGCAGGATCTTATCGAATTTGATTTTGAGTTGGTGCATTTGTTTGTATTTCCCCTTTTTTTTATACATAATGTGAACTATAAGAAATCAAGCGATAAGAAAGTTGAATATTCCCGTCCAATGTTATATGCTAAGGTATAATTAAAATTAGTCTGTTGTCAAATAGTTATACTTGTCGAAGTATACATGATATTCGAATTTGAATCCAAAGTTTCCGCATTTTTTTCTTAATAAATCTGAACATTTTATTATAGTTCATAGTTTTATCACTCAAACATTTCTTCATCGCAATATAGTTTTTCTCTTTTAAAGAAAATCTCAAAAAACTCTCAATACGTTTTTTTTTCTTCAGAAAAAAATGTAAAATTAACATCTGTTTCTTATTTTATTCCTTATTATTTTTAAAGCATATGCAACACTTAGCATTACATGGGCGAAAATTAAATGTCATAATTCTTTCATTAATTATGATTTACACACATTATTTCTTTTTATTAACCCCAGATTTACACGTGTAAAACATTCAAAGCATTCGTTTTATCTTACTACATGACAGACCTTTTTATAATGAAAGATTATTTATGATGGTGAAAAACCGAATAGGATTTATTGAAGTAATTTATTACCAAAATAAGACAAAAAAAACGTAAACCTTCTTCTCATTTTAGTCTCAATCACATGAGAGAAATTCATCAGAAATACCATCAACTTCTTCGTCAAAATTATGGTAAGAGTAGTATCAGAATTAGAAGTGAAGTGATCTTTTTCTTTTGTTAAGTTTTGAATATTGCCAAAAGAAATGGAAAAAGATTCTATTTATTACCATTATACCAATACTAGTAGTCGTTGGAATTTATTTTGTGACGAAAATTGTGGCAAATAAATATTCAGAAATATTGATAACTAAAATAAGAAAAACAATCTCGACAACAACTTCAACAACAAGTTTAACAACGAGTTCAACAACTACTGCGACAACAACTTCAATAACAACTTCAACAACAACAATTAGAAGTAATATTTAAATGAATAGTTAAGAAAATGTGTTTCATTGTTTATTTCTATGGACTGTGTAGACTCAATGTTGTAGGAGAAGCAATTAAAGTTATTAAACCAACAGTAACAACGCGTGTTCCGCAAGTCGAAACATTGAGAGAACGCCAATAGTTTTTGTAAAATGTTTTGGAAACTTTTTAAAATATTGAACCATTTAAATATCTATCAGAATATCAAAACTTCCGCGCAACAATAACTTTATTCCTTTTACTAATTTTTTTCCAGAAAAAGCTATTGATTTCCCTCTTTTTCATGGCGCACCGTCTATATTGATGTCAATTTTCTGATATTTATGTTGGTAATATACAGATAATGATGGACTAAAACATATAGTGAGCGCAAAGAAATATCTTTTTTTTCTTTCCATATACATTTCAAAACGAATGTTTTAACATCTTTATCTTTCTTATCTAGAATGGACTGATGCTGGGCGATTGAATATACCTCGGGAATATCATTCATCAACAGTATTATCCGATGGAAAAGTATTAGTTACTGGTGGAAAGTTTAAGAGATCCATTGTTTCTGATTGTGAATTATATGATCCATTAACAAATCAATCGACACTCGTCGCAAATATGTCTGTTGCAAGAATGTATCATACTGCATCTTTATTGTCAAATGGATTAGTATTAGTTACTGGAGGAGAAAATTATGGCACGACTCATAATAGCGCTGAATTGTATAATGTATCAGCAGATAAATGGATGTTGACAAGAAATATGACATATTCACGAGCTGAGCACATAGCAATTGTCTTAAATAATGGAACCGTATTAGTGAGTGGTGGAACCGATATGCATTCTGGAATGTTAAGAACTGCTGAATTGTTTGACATCTCGACAGGTATATGGACAGTAACAGAAGAAATGACGTGTAAGCGTTCCTCTCATGCAGCATCTTTATTAAAGGACGGAAATGTGCTGATCACTGGTGGATCAGATTTTTGTTTTTCAAATAGTGATTATGATCATAGTGAATTATATGATCCAATGACAAAAACATGGTCACTGCTAAACCGAATGAATGTTGTACGTGAAGGTCACACATCAACTGTATTAAGTGATGGAAAAGTTTTAGTCACAGGTGGCTTTAATGCTGTGGTTCAAATATCAGAATCTGTTGAATTATATGATCCATCCACGAAAATGTGGACAGTCACAAAACATATGAATTATCGACGTGTGCGTCATACTGCATCTTTATTATCAAATGGAATAGTCTTGGTCACTGGTGGAACTGATGGTCATACGAGGCTAGATATTACTGAATCGTATGATCCATCAACAGATACTTGGTCTTTAATCAATTCGATGAAGATAGGTCGTCAATATCATACAGCATCCACATTAATGGATGGGCGAGTGTTAGTTATTGGTGGAAACGAAGGTTTTGATACAGAACTCTACTAATTCTCCTAAGAGAAACGATCTTTTGACTTTATATACTCTCTTTAATGTGTCAATATAAGTTTAAAAACTATTTATTTTCATATTTCTCAATTTCTACACTTTTAATGTTGTCAAATATACTATAATTTATGACGTTTTTCTTTATTAACTATAATGACAATATAAATTAAATGGCATGTATTTAATTGGTCAGTAGAATATGTGAAATTGTCAGTAAGGAAAATAATGCAAAATCAGTAAAATAATGAAATGGTCAGTAAACTATGTGTATGATCAGTTAACTTTATGAATGGTCAGTAAAGTATTTAGACGATCAGTGTTTTACTTGATTCAGCGCGTAGAATATATGATAAGATCAGTAGAAAGATCTTGAGGGCAGTAGAAAAATCGAAATATCTTATAGTATGATTCATCTTTTTCTTCTTTCGTTCCATTCTTCGTCCGTGTATTTGAAAACATTCATACGACTCGTACATGTCCATATCTATTCTTTACCTCTCCGTCGTTTGCAGTCAACTGAATTTCAAGGACAAAAGCGATGAACACAATGCAGGTTGCCCAATATGAAAGCGAATCGTCTGGTGAAGAAACTCAGGAAAAACATACGAATGTTATTGGAAAAGCCAAGAGAAGACCAGAGTCGAAGTTTTGGATTGAAGAAGCTACTTATAATCATTCCAGCGAAGTAGAAGCATTGATCAAAGATGACTGGTCGAAACACTATGTGAACTATACTGAACGCGGCCGAAAAGTTAAACAGGCCGTTGCTGAATTATACAGTGATGGCGTGACGAAGCCCAGGCAAATAATGCGAGCTTTAGAGGCGAGGAAAATGAAGACACCAACGTATGGGCAACTGAATAGTTATCTTGTTCATTTGAGAAAGAAGAAATATGGCTCACATCAAATAAGTCTTGGTGAATTGGAACAATGGTGTCAAGCAAATGAAAGTATTCCAACCACTGAAGATACAGCTTTTGTTGTATCATACGAGATAAAATACGATGACGAAGACGACGAGGACGTTGAAGATTATCAAGGTAGTCGATTTCGTATATTCATTTCTTTTCTGCGTCTGCTCAGTATTACGTTGTTATCGTCACATATCAATGCGGATGCTACGTATAAATTAGTTTGGCAAGGCTTTCCTGTACTTGTAGTTGCCACAACCGATCTGAAGATATCATTTCACCCGTTCGGATTAGCAATATGTTCAAATGAAAAAACGAAAGACTTCGAGTTTATTTTCAAAAGAATTCAGCTTGGACTGGTTAATACTAACAAAGGTCTATTCAAACCAACAGCATTGGTCTCTGATGCTGCAGATGCAATTAAGAACGGTTTTAGAAAGGTATTTGACCATCCTTATGACGAAATAATGTGTTGAGCGCATATGAAAAGGGAAGTCAATAATCGTGTGTGTCACATGGATGCGAATTTAGATGTCTGGCTGTGGCAACTTGGTTTTCGTAGGATCCATATAGTTTTAGGAAAAGATCAGGGGTGCTATTTACATTTTTTCAGTTGTATTCATATGAGAGTCGGATTTTGTACAGCGATTGACGTAAAAAAATATTTATTTCATTAAGTATAAACGTTAGTAATTAACGATACAATTTCGGCAAGTGAATTTGTTTGTATTAGGATCGATGAAATCCATCAGTGGAGGATAAACGAAAGTATCGTTCGAGTTTAATTGGAATCTTCATTACTTTTCATTGCCGTTTGTAAATGAGATCTACATTGACTAACAGTGAAATTTCATTCACATGCTATATTCGACATACGTGCAGGCGGTAATATACAAAAAATACATGATCCCGAATATCCCAGAAGTTGCACTGTTTATGTTAGAGTTTCTAAAGTCTCTTATGATTTCGAGGGTCTTCAACATATATATTGCAGTTCTAGTCAATAGATCACCACTTATTTTCTATCCATTCGACTTCGATGACTTTTTTCATGAAAAACGGTTGATAATGTAAGTCACAGTAACTTTAGTATTGCACATAAAGCACTTTTCATTGCATAACGAAAAATATCCGTGTGGTAGACATGCATGAATAAATTTGTATAAGAAGAAAAAAGGTAACTGATACAAAAAATAGCTTCGCGCACACTTTTTTTCTTTCTTTCTTTCTATATTCGTTTCTCATAAAATCATACAAAAATATTCATATACCGATTTCGAAAAACTTATTTAATGTTTAATAAGTTTATTCTACACATGAATAATTATCTATGATTCATCGAAGTCGAAATCTTCTTTCTTTGGACTCTGTTCGTATGTTTATTTTTCTTTTGTTTGATTTCTAATTTTTGATGGATAGGTAAACGGTTCTGATGAAAGCTTCAAAATATTCGTCTTTATGGAAATTAATTTTGTGTTTTATTCTTGTGAATATTGTTTTTCTAAGTATTTTTCATTCGAAAATATCCTTCTCAACTGAAACCTGTCGGCAAAGAAAAGATTCATTTGAAACCGTCACAATTTCAACTGGAAATCACAATGTTCAACCGTATAATGATTGCCCTTCTTATAATCCTCAAATCACCGTAAAAGATCTTTTTCAATATTACTTTCAGTCTTTCAATAATTCAGCGTGGCTCGCTCAGCCTTCGATCTATTCAATATCATTCAATGAATTACATTCATTGCTCTATGGTTCTCAGACAAAAAATATCTATAAATCTTGGCCAAATTATCATAAAAAAGTATTTGATGGATCATATCCACATACATCAATGACAACTGACTTATTCTTGATAATCGCTGCAAAAATCAATATTTCCATACATTTAGTTGTTGAAGTTGGAAGTTTCATTGGCAAATCATCATCGAACATTGGACGTGCGATACAAATACATCCCCAATGGTCGAAACAAGTTGTTTTATTGTGTATTGATACGTGGTTAGGTGGAGTTGAACATTGGTTACAATATCGACATATGTCTGCTTTGGAATATGGAAGACCAACAATCTTTGAACAGTTTCTTGCGAATATAATCCACGCAAATTTAACAAATATTGTCCTTCCTTTATCAACAACTTCGTTAATTGGAGCGCAGCTTTTAATTCGACATAAATTATTTCCGCAACTGATTTATCTCGACAGTGCACATTTACAAGGTGAAACTTTAGTTGAAATTGAGATGTTTTGGGTTTTATTACAACCTGGTGGAATACTCATTGGTGATGATTGGAGATGGCGATCTGTTCGTTGTGATGTTCTTCGATTTGCCCGAAGTATCAATGTTGTACCAACCGTCATTCGTAATACATGGTTCATCCAAAAATAGTAGAGTTTATGAATATACAATAAATGTGAAATCATTTCCTGAAATTTCAAACATATAATTATTTTCTAGCAGAAGTTGTGCATAAACATCAACCTCTCTCGAACAAAACTTGAACATCGAGCATTGAAAATAATCTCATTCATATGGATTAGCCGTTTATCGGTCGACTTTCGAATGAGCAAGTGTTGTTGATTTCTTTCATATAGTTTCATTGATCTTATCCAAATCTCAACGTATGTAAATCCATCGTGCAGTCCTATTCGCTTTAAAGATTTCCAAGAAAAATTGAGAGAAGACCGTGAAATCGATTGTAAAATTTTATCATGGTCAAATGATATCACCGAAGGAAATCAAACAACTTCAAAGTAAAATTTAATTCGTATTTTCGCTTTGTTTCATCTCGATGATCAATCTCATCTACAAATTGATGGTGAATTACAAATGAAGAAAAGAAAGTTTAGTAAATTGTCACTGTGGGTTTGAATTAGCGATAAAATATTTTCTTATACAGAACAAAGATCATACTTTAATGCATTTAACAGAAACTGACACTTTGTATAACGATCTTGAGGGTGGTACGAAAATCAATGTTTGAAAAACAATTATAATCATTATTAATTATAAGAAATAGTGCAGCGAAGAAATTAGTTTAATAACAGCTATTGGTGAAAATATTTGATTATATGAAAATTCATTCTCCAAAATGTCGAAGACTTGTACGATCTTTTTCTCTTTTGAATCAAAACAAATATTTAAATCGTTCTCGTAAGTCAAACAGAACTAGTGTAAAACTTCTTCGTCGTTCGGTAAAGTTTTAGTCAAATCAGTTGAAAATGTGTCGTTTATCATCGAACTCTCTCAACTGTAAAATATTCTATGAAAAGNGACATCGCTGCAGTCTATGTACCATTATCAAGAGTGAAGCGTTTGGACGATTTAATTATTTTACGACACTTTGATTACAAAGTCTTAGTGATCAAACCCAGCAAATCTCAAGTTGCCGAGATGCAAAGACTAGACAAACTCTACATGGAAACACGAATGCGTTTTTCAGAATGGTTTTGACAAATTCGATAGAAAAGACAAATCACCGTTGCTTGTCATCCATTTTGCGCATCGGATTCATTTGTATCACTTGTATCTGTGCAAATTTCTTGTATAATGAAACATTTTCTCTATTAGTTCGTTGTTTTGTAATCGAAATCCAAATTTTGTTTTCAATTTTACCGTAACTATTATGTTTTGTTCCACGCTTCTTATTCGTACCCGCATATACTTTATTTGTATTTTGACTTCTTTAGAGATTTAGTTAGAACTAATACAAAAAATTATTTGCTTTCTTTCATGTAGTTGTTTAGTATATCATCAATTTATCTTTATTTCATTGAAAAACAAATAAACAAACATCATATTGGAAAACATTTTCTCTTATATGAAATAAAAAACAATAGCAAATTGATTATTATATATGAATCTTTTCAGTCGAGAGTAATGCGAATCCGTCTCGATGAGCGTTATTTATTCTCCTAATATCTTAAGAAATACAGGATAAAACCGTAATTTTTGCACTTTTCAAAATCCGTCCGAAGAGGTTGACTTTTACGTGGACAGGCCGTGCCATGTAAACACCAGACGCAAAATAAAGGCGTTCAGATCAAGTTTCTCTCGAAAAGTACTGTGTATTTACATATTTTGGATCTATACTGATAGTTTTCTAAGTGAAAATACTTTGAATTGAAAGTTCTTTCTGTAAGGTCGAATTCAGAATGAATAGATAGAAATTATCATTTATTTTTATTTGAAAATATTTTTCAACAACCAATTCATATCTCTCATTCAACTAAAATCTATAAAGGACGGGGACGTTTCGGTCGTATTTTGGCCCGTGGGCAAAAGTGCGACTAATTTCGATGCAACTCTCAGCAATTGGAGACCTTATAACTGGTAGTCACTCGTCAAGATTTCAACTCGATCGGTTGAACTTTTTCACTTATTCATATTTACTTTCGTTTCGAACTTCAAGATTCCATCTTGGATCATATAAAGTAATGAAAAAGAATCAAGCATCGCATGATAATCAAAATATCATATTCCACATCAGTTGACATTCTCATAACTTATCAAAACAGATTAAAGAATCTTCAAAGAATGAGAAACAGAAAGTCTGTGAATATTTTATTACTGAAAAACTAAAAAAACGCATGCTTTACAAGTCTTTTTACGAGTTTGAACTAATGAAAAACTGTACCAAGAGGGTTTGTACTGTATCTAATGAGAATTTTATTTTCTACGACATTGTTTGTGACGATCCACGGAAAACTGATCTTAGTAGATTGTTTGTTCAGAGAGAGTCCATGAAATCACCACCCAAATCGGTTGTCGAAGAAATTAAATTTTTGAAATGAGTTGTTTGTCAAAAATCATGGATTTCAGTTTGTTCTTATTAATGAAGTTTTTGATGAAGCAAAAATTAAAATTTTTCGCCAATCAACTTCTAATATCTCGGGCGATGAGTTCATGAATCCTTCCTTAATATTTTTTGACAGAAATGCGTTCAACTATACAAAATTTGTTGGAGACAGTAACAGTGTGCAATAGATAAAAATAAAATCTCTCTAATATTCTTTTCCATGATTTCATTGATGAACACTACAACTCATTTATTTCCTCTATCGAATGATTCTAATTCTACACCAATAAATAATCAAGCATGGTTTGTTCCTCTCGATATTATAGTGATTTGCTTTCTTGCTTTGGTCATTATATTGAGTTTTGTATTTTTATGTGTTATTTTATTTGATAAAACATGTCATACAGTTGCAATGATGCTTGTTGTAAATTCATGTCTTGCTACTCTTTTATTTGCGTGTAGTTTAATTTGGCAGACGAGTATTTCGCTTGGCAACGATCTTAAAAGAATTGAATATGAAGATCCACTTTGTAAATTTCGAGCTTATATTGGTTATGTTGCTTGTTCTGAAACATTTTATTCTTATTTATTACAATCAATTTATCGATATATATTAGCTATTTATCCAACTCGTTTATTTTATCAATCTGCAAGATTTCAGTTTTTTCTCATTGTTTTAACATGGATATTTGCTTTTCTATGTATTTCTCCATTTATACTGGCAGGTGAGATTATATATATTCTCGATGAACAAATATGTCAGATGCCTCTTCATCGATCTGTCGTATTGATTTATGGTACATTTTATATGTATATAATACCTATGAATATTATTATGTTTATCTATTATAAATTAATTTATTATGTTAAACAAATGAGTAAACGTGTAACACACGTAAATAGCGTAACACGTGCACAAAGAGAATTACGAATGGTTCATCGAGTAGTTATCATTATATCAATCTTAATAACAGTCGGCTTACCTTATACAATTTTTATATTGATGGGATTAATTAGTCAACCACCAAAATATCATTTTCGTATTGCTCTCGCATTTGTTGATGTATCATTATTTTTCATTATAATTCTTTTGTTTAAATTTACAGATCCCGTTAAAATATCGATTATGAAAAGAATAAACAGACAACGAAATACAGTAGTAATACTACTGGCATAAATGATCAAAACTAAATGCTTATATATACACTAATCAGTTTTCATATTGTATTGTTTCCTTTTCTGAAAGAAAGGGTTATACAGCGATTAAATCGACGGCTTGAAATGCTAAAAGTTTGTCTGTCTGTCCAAGCCAATCAGATTACAGCATTGACAACTCAAAGAAAACTTCACGATGGTCATACGGGAATGATTCACCACATGTAATCGAGGTCGGGGATCTCAAATCTGATGTTAGTTTTTCAAAATTCTAATTACCTAATTAAGTAATGAAAATTTTCTTCGTTGTCGAGTAAGGGTTGACTGAAGGGTAGTCGGGGTCGAGAATCTCGAATTCGATGTCAGTTTTTAGAAAAATTTCACAGACGGGTATCTGAATGGAAATGTTGAAGACAACTTGACGGCAATATCTAAAGAGTATCGCCACTGAAACGTTCTTTTGCTTTGATATGAGCAGGAAACATTATGTCTCGCAAGAGAACATACCCAGGTGTGTCCCGGGGATTTCAATGGAAATCATGTGGGTGTGTTGACCTGAGTATACCTATCTCAGGTGCGAAACAATTAGGTGCTCTTACCATCTTAGTAAAAAAATATAGGCAAAACACTTTTCATAATATTAACACATGTATTTCGCCATACTATATGTATTTCGAGATTTTTCAAATATTCTAGCGTATTTTGTCTCTAGGTATTTTACATCTAGTTCTATGTGTGTGTTGTCTATGTTTTCATTGCATAACCCTTCATTTCTATCTTAATTATATGTATTAGGTATCTCTGTATCTATACTCGCTTTTCCAGGCTTCTGTAATCACTAATTCTTTATTCTTCTGATATCGATCGCTCTTGTATTCGTATGTTCGTTCGTTTTTCAGCCTATATATATATATCACGTATAATTTTAATGAATAATACAGTGACGTTTACGACTTCTAAAGTTATTTACTACGACTTTTTCAAAATCAACATGTGAAATGTTAACAATATTCTTCGCATTTTTAACAATCTGGCGCGTCAGAAACATCCAGAACCTACTCAAGATGAACCATCGTCCAAAGATTATGAGCAAGCCGATCAATTGTTTTTGTTGTTTAATCAACTGTTAACTTCTGCAGAAATACTAGTCGATCATATTGTAACATTGGATTTTAATGAATATGACGATTGTAGTGCTGATTACCAGGAAGAAGATGACAATGCTGTTGCATTAAATGTTGATGGCATAAAATATTCTTGTGATACAATGTGTGCCATTGTCGAGTTTTCAAAAACACACACCTTCCCTACATTACGCAGACGATAGAGACAAATAAAATAAATATAGAGAACAACTGCGTCGAATAAAGCAATATGTTAATGCCCAAGGTACGAAAACACAGAAACTCCAACTTGTCGACAATTTTGTTTATACGGAATTTATTCGTGTTCGAGAATGCTGTTTACCAATACACGATTCTGATTTAAGGCGCTTGGCCATTAGAAAAGTATATAATTTAAATTTGGTCGGTTTTATGGCATAGAAAAGTCACAAAACTGGTAACCAAAAATCATTTGGAAGACCGAAATGAAATATTAAAATCCGCCGAACGTTTTGTCAAAACAGTAAAAAATGCTATTCCAGATTATGCTGAAGATCATATATTAAACAGCGACCAAAGCAGTTTTAAGTAAGTTATTTATAGATAGAAAATAATCAAACAGAAAATAATTTCTAATATATTAGCCATGACAACCCATCAACACGGACGCTAGCAACAACCGGTGAAAAAATAATTAAAGGCCACGTCAAATCAATGAATGCTGCTACTCATTCGTACACAATTATGCCAATTATTAGTATGGCTGGAAAATTAATTGGGCCGGTTTTCATATGTTTACAAGAACCCACAGGAAAAATCGGACCGCGTATTAAGCAGTCTATTTACCAAGCGAGCAATATTCATGTTACGTGTAGCAAGTCAGGAAAATTTACAAAAACACACTTTCGATATTAGGCTGAAAATGTTTTAAGTTCATTTATTTCCGGCGATTGTTTGCTATTGATAGACTCTTGGTCTGATCAAACAGTTCCCAGTATTTATGATGATATTTCAACTGAAAACATCACTTGTAAGCAAATACAGATTCCACCAAAGACAACTAGAGATATTCAACCATTGGATCGCTATTTCTTTCGACAATGGAAATATTTGAAACAAAAAATTTATGATCGCGTCGCAATGGACCAAATGGACATTGATATCTGTTCCAGAAACTGCATTTTAAAAAGGCATTGTTTGATACATAACCAGTTTGCAGCTAAAAGGTTTTCACCTTTGATCAAATATGTCTGGTATTCACGTGGTTATATGTCAAAAGATCCTGGTCATTTTGATAGTGTACACGATGTATGTTTTTCTTTCGATGAAGGTATCTGTTCTTGGGCAGCGTGCAATGAGTTTTCTTTCATTTGCTGCAGTCATTGCCGTCATATTCTTTGTTTTAATCATTTCTTTGTGGAGGATCACAAACATTAATAAAAATCTGTCACCTCTTATCAAGTAATGCATTATCTCTGTTCGTATGAACACTAAAATAGATTTCAGAAAACGAGGCCATACTTGCGGATATATCTAAAATAGTCAGTAGGTCTTTTTCGGTGAGCATCACGCAAGAATACACGACATAAACTATTATTAGACGTACTATCTCTGTATGAAACGGTGTGCGAGTTTTCAATCATCACGAGTAAGAAAATCTTTGAAAAAAAATCATCTGAAAAATAGAGTCCGGCGGGACCGGGTTTTTTGATCCCGAACCCGGTTGTACTCAGTTTAAATGATACCCGTCCCGACCCCGATCCCGGTCAATTGGGACCTCGGGTTCCCGATCCCGATCCCGATTTCTAATCGGGAAACCTGTCCCGTCCCGTTTCATCCCGATGTTTTTCAAAATCATTAAAGACAGTTTTTAAAAAAACACAAATTCAGTGATATATAACTCGATAAGATATAGTTTCATGGGATTATAGATTGCTAGTGGAATGGTAATGCCACGGTTTGTTTATATGTACTAATATTTTAAATTCTGTCAATAAAATGTCATGTGAAACTAGACGATTATATGAAAAAGGACGTTTATTCGTATTTTAATCGTTCAGATTCGATAAGAAAAAGAAAGACTGTAAATAAAATCAATACGAACACATTTATATGACAGAGGACAGAAACAAAAGAAAGAAATATTATCGATGACAACATATATAATTATGTGCAATCACTTTATCGCCTTATGTTGATACGGTCTAAGGAGAAAAATCATTCTCTTTTATTATCCTCTCGTATTGCACTAGACTTTTTCTCCAACGAACGACATGTAAGTTTAAGCACTGACATTCGTATGCGTAATATAATCGTATACTCCATGGATTACATAATATCTCTGCATGTCGAAACTTTTATTATCCTTCTGTAATGAATACATATATAAGTCCAGGTTCTTCGGTTATTCTAACATTTGCCTTGTTTATACGCGCACATAGACGTTCTTTCTATTTTTCAAGGCAACTCTGTTGAAATATTGGTTCACTCTGATGAATTTAATATAATCTGAGCGCATTTGTTAAATATGTTTGCGTACTATCATTAAAAATTCTCATTTTAGATCTTTTGTCATCCTACTACGTGGTGATACTTCAGTTGTTATAATGAAATACGATAAAAAACAAATCATACTCTTTGCAAAAAATAAAGATCCTTTGCTGGAATTCAACAAACCAAAACAAACACCGAAGTCATCACCATTTTGGTCTTCATTTTGTCAAGTATCTTTCAATAAAATCAAACAAGATTTCATTCGATGCGATAAATGTGAAACAATTCTTATACATAAATCTATTCATGGTACAAAGGTAATGTCGAACCATATAAAAGCTTGCAAGCAGGTAAAAGAATCCAATACAAATGTTTGTGCTTTATCGAAAAACTCAAATTCTACACAAATTTCATCACAAGTCAAGAAATTAATTACTGAAGCATGTGTTGAATTTGCTTCTCTTGATAATCGTCCTTTCGAAACTGTTAAAGGTGTCGGATTTCTTGGTTTAATGGAAAAAATATTTTTTGCTGGTCAACAGTTGTCTAGATTTTCAAATATACAAATGAATGATTTGTTGCCTAATCCGACTACGGTAAATAGAAAGCATGCTTTTTGTGAATAATTTCTCAATTGATTTTTATATTAGGTCAGTCGAAACGTTGATCAAGCGTACGTATTACGTAAAGAACAATTGATTAAATGGTGTGAATCAATCGATAACTATTGTATCACGGTGGACTTCTGGTGTGAAGGTCACACTGGAATTCATTTTGGAGGTGTTTCTCTTCACCATATTGATCAAAACGATCATTTACATGTATTTGTTCTTGGGTGTTATCCGTACGATGAAGATGATCAAAAATCTCCAAACATTCGTGCATTTATCGAAAGAATATTATCCGAATACGGATTGAAACTTGATAATAACAATTATGTGATGAGTGACAACGAGAATAAGATGAAAAGTACTTTTGGTTATAATTGCAAACGCATTGGTTGCAGTTCTCATTACTTAAACAAGCAATTAGAACATGCTTTTACTTCTCAAACAATTGACAAGAAACCAGTGGATTGCATTGAAGTTCAAGAATTATTTCGACATGTCAAAACACTTGTCACTCATGTTCGTCGTTGTCACAAACAATTGAAGCTTTCAAGAAAACTTCAAATGTACAGCGACACAAGATTTAATGGAGCTTTTTACATGCTCAATGTTTTTTTATCAGTTTTTGATGAATTGTTTCCTGTCATTAATAATACTCATTTACAAGATTATGTCAGCATAGACAAGGATTTTCTTCAACAAATATGTGATTTTCTAACACCTTTTGATGAAGCATTTCGACAATTAAGCGAGACAAAACAACCTACTCTTCATCGTGTCATTCCACTTCGTCAATACTTAATAAATCATTGTGAAATTGAATCCAAAGATCATGATGGAATTAAAAAACTAAAACGTTTTTTAAGTAAGAAAAAATAACATACAATACGTTATTGAATGATTTAATATCTCTCTTTTACAGGACAAAGAATGGAAAATTCATGGGTTCTCGATGATGAACATTACCTTGCCACCATTGTTCATCCAAAGCTGAAGCATTTTCAAATGGCAGCACCTGGTGACAAAGAAAAAGCAATTCGTTTATTAAAATCTTTAGTTCAAAATGAAATAGCTTGTCAAATGAGTACGTCTTCTTCCATACATTCCATTAATCAGTACCCAATGAACAATTCGTCGTGTAGTAATCATTCGAAATCATTGGAAGGCAAAAGTTTATTAGCTCGATGTTTTGATCAAGTTTCTGAGCCTATGCCACTGTATTTACATGAATGTGAAGAATATTTGAACTCAACCACGACAATGAATGAGAATGAAAATGGTGATGATGAGGGTGAGTTTTTTTTCTATAGTTTCCTCACAAGAAAACCTATCCATCATGTGTAATTTTCAGTTTTAGAATATTGGGCACAACATCGTCATCGATTTCCAAATATACATACAATTGCACGTAAAGTATTAGCCATACCAGCTTCAAACACTGAAGTCGAAAGATTATTTTCATGCTCCAAAATGTCGGTGACAGATACTCGAACTCGTCTTGATACAGAGAAACTCAATAAACTTATCTTTCTTCGTAAAAATCTTCATTCATTGAAGATGTCAGATGCCAAAGAAGATGGTAGGCAAAAGCGTAAATCTACTAATCAATATGAATCTGATTCTGAAAGTGAACATGAAGGCGAACAATTAACGCCTTCAATATCGAAGAAACGTCGAATAGAAATTAATAACGGTCTATCTGACCAAGATGGACTGAATGAATGATTAGAAATTTCTTCTTTCTGTTTCTTCAGCATTGTTTTTATTTCTATTTTTTTAATATGCATACGTGTGATTTTGTTTTATTATTATGATATGTTATACTAAATTTTGGAATAAAAAGAAGTTATTTGTTGAAATCAAAGTATCAATTACGGGACAACAGCTTCATCCCGTCCCGATCCCGGTCCCGGTCCCGTCGGAGACTTGATCCCGAACCGTCACCCCAATCCCGACGGGATTGGGACCGGGTTCGGGAAAAAAATAGGGATCGGGATTGTCCCGCCGGACTCTACTGAAAAAGGCTATAAGAGAAAAAAACTTATGTAACGAAATACATGTGTTAATATTATGAAAAGTGTTTTGCCTATATTTTTTTACTAAGATAGTAAGAGCACCTAATTGTTTCACACCTGAGATAGGTATACTTAGGTCAACACACCCACATGATTTCCATTAAAATCCCCGGGACACACCTGGGTATGCTCCCTCGTAAGTTACGTTCCAAATAACTACTGATTCTGTCTTTTTAAATATCAAAGCAGTTTGCTTTATGTAAAGACGCTCAAATAAAATGTATTCTGTCAGTTACAGAATAGTTAGATGGAAATCATTATTTATACATATTGAAAGATATTATGAACGATTATTTGATATCTGTTCTCCAAATCAAACCTCTTAAATCAGTCGAAAGTCATTGATTATCAATATCTGCCTGATCAAAATCTCATTCAGTATTTTTTTATCGTAAATGAAATCTCAAATAGAAAAAGAAATAAAATTCAAATTAGTTTGAAATTGAATGAGATTATCGGAAGAAAGTGAGACAACGGCTTATTTTTCCTTCAAAATAACGTAAAATGGGTATCGTTATCCTCATGTGTATAAGTCTAAACGTGTATTCAGATACATATTTTTTTCTATACTGATATGTTTCGAGCAAGTATAGCTTAGTGGTGTATGTTCAAGACTTCTGATCAATGGTTCATCTGTTCAAATCTGCACTTCGACAAATAAGATAAAAATTCAGTTTATGTGCGAGAATAGTCTAAGACCACCAGGACATAACTGTGGTGGTGACTCAGTTCGAATTTGAGATGGTTAAAAGATTTTTTGCCTAATTTTGAAATTTAATGTGGACGCGTTCAGACGCTCCGATAGTTTCATCGGATCCGTCGAATTCCTGTAGGATCTGATAAAATCCTATATTGGATCCGATGGAATTGTTCGACCTGAGCAGCTCAAATTGAAGTGCGGTTAGATCCAAAAAATGTTTACATGGGTGATTAGTAAAATAAATAATGTTCGCGTATTGATCATGATGTTCTTATCATTATTGGAGAAAAACACTTGATCACCATCAAAGAACTAATAATAGACGAAAAAACAAGATATTTTCGTATGAGAATAAAAACATAAAATGGAGATATGCAGTAGTGTCAAACTTGGAGGCTGAATTCAAGTATTCCACTATTTTCGCATCCATCTCGTACCCTCATTTAGTTTCTGCGCCCTTCGCGCCCTTATTTTGATGTTGAATAGTTGAATTCAAATTCCAAGTTATACATGTATGCATGCTTTAGATGCCTGGCTATGGCAAATTTGTTTTCGTAGGATCCATATAGTTTTAGGAAAAGATCAGAGATGTTATTTGACATTTTTTCAGTTGTCTATTCATATGAGTCGGATTTTGTACAGAGATTGACATAAAAAAATATTTATTTCATTAAGTATAAACGTGAGTAATTAACGATACAATTTCGGCAATTGAATTTGTTTGTATTAGGACCGATGAAATCCATCAGTGGAAGATTAACGAAAGTATCGTTCGAGTTTAATTGGAATCTTTAATACTCTTCATTGCCGTTTATAAATGAGATCTACATTGAATAACAGTGAAATTTCATTCACATGCTATATTCGACATACGTGCAGACAGTAATACAAAAAATACATGATTCCGAATGTTGCAGAAGTTACACTGTTTACGTTCGAGTTTCTAAAATCTTTTATGGTTTCGAGGGTCTCCAAGATATATATATATATTACAGTTCTAGTCAATAGCTCACCACTTATTTTCTATCCATTCGACTTCGATGACTTTTTTTCATGAAAAATGGTTGAGAATGTAAGTCACAGTAACTTTAGCATTGAGCATAAAGCAATTTTTATTGCCCGAAGAAAAATATCCGTGTGTAGACATGCATGAATAAATTTGTATAAGGAGAAAAAAGGTAATTAATGTATTGAATAGTTTCGCGCACATTTTTTTTTCTTTCTTTCTTTCTTTCGATATTCGTTTCTCATATAGTCATACAAAAATATTCACATACCGACTTCGAAAATCTTATTTAATGTTTAATAATTTTATTCTACACATGAATGATTATCTATGATTCATCGAAGTCGAAATCTTCTTTCTTTGGATTCTGTTCGTATGTTTATTTTTCTTTTGTTTGATTCCTAATTGTTGATGGATAGGTAAACGGTTGTGATGAAAACTTCGAAGTATTCGTCTTTATGGAAATTAATTTTGTGTTTTATTCTTGTAAACATTGTTTTTCTAAGTATTTTTCATTCAAAAATATCCTTCTTAACCGACACCTGTGTACAAAGAAAAGATTCATTTGAAACCGTCACAATTTCAACTGGAAATCACAATGTTCAACCGTATAATAATTGTCCTTCTTATAGTCCTCAAATCACAGTAAAAGACCTTTTTCAATCTTACTTTCAATTTTTCAATAATTCAACGTGGCTCGCTCAGCCTTCGATCTATTCAATATCATTCAATGAATTACATTCATTGCTCTATGGTTCTCAAACAAAAAACATCTATAAATCTTGGCCAAATTATCATAAAAAAGAATTTGATGGATCATATCCCCATACATCAATGACAACTGAATTATTCTTAATAATCGCTGCAAAAATCAATATTTCCATACATTTAGTTGTTGAAGTTGGGAGTTTTATTGGCAAATCATCATCGAACATTGGACGTGCGATAAAAATACATCCTCAATGGTCGAAACAAGTTGTTTTATTGTGTATTGATACGTGGTTAGGTGGAGTTGAACATTGGTTACAATATCAACATATGGTTGCTTTGGAATATGGAAGACCAACAATCTTTGAACAATTTCTTGCGAATATAATTCACGCAAATTTAACAAATATTGTTCTTCCTTTATCAACAACTTCGTTAATTGGAGCGCAGCTTTTAATTCGACATAAATTATTTCCACAAGTAATTTATCTCGACAGTGCACATTTACAAGGTGAAACTTTAGTTGAAATTGAGATGTTTTGGGCTTTATTACAACCTGGTGGAATACTCATTGGTGATGATTGGAGATGGCGATCTGTTCGTTGTGATGTTCTCCGATTCGCTCGGAATATCGATGTTGTACCAACCATCATTCGTAATACATGGTTCATCCAAAAACAGTAGAGTCTATGAATATAGAATAAATGTGAAGAATCTCATTAATATGAATTAGCCGTTTATCGGTCGACTTTCGAATGAGCAAATTTTGTTGATTTCTTTCATATAGTTTCATTGATCCTATCCCAATCTCAACGTACGTAAATCCATCGTGCAGTCCTAGTCGCTTTAAAGATCTCCAAGAAAAATTGAGAGAAGAACGTGAAATCAATTATAATAGTTTATCATGGACAAATGATGTTACCGAAACAAATCAAACAACTTCAAAGTACGACGATTTCTCCTTATGGTTTGTTAATAATAGTTTCTTTTCAACAACTTTAAATCGTATTATTGCTTTGTTTCATCTCGATGATCAATGTCATCTACAAATCGATGGTGAATTACAAATGAAGAAAAGAAAGTTTTGTAAATTGTCAATGTGGATTTGAATTAGCGATGAAATATTTTCTTATTCAAAACAAAGATCATACTTTAATGCATTTAACAGAAACTGTCACTTTGTATAACGATCTTATGGTGGTGCGAAGATCAATGTTTGAAAAGCAATTGTAATCATGATCAATTATAAGAAATAGTGCAACGGAGAAATTAGTTTAATAAGAGCTATTGGTGAAAATAGTTGATTATACGAAAATTCATTCTCAAAAGTTTCGAAGACTTGTATGATCTTTTTCTCTTTTGAATCAAAACAAATATTTAAATCGTTCTCGTAAGTCAAACAGAACTAGTGTAAAACTTCTTCGTCGTTCGGTAAAGTTTTAGTCAAATCAGTTGAAAATGTGTCGTTTATCATCAAACTCTCTCAACTGTAAAATATTCTATGAAAAGAAAAACACGGAGTATTATCATTAAAATTCTTTGATAATATGGTACTTTTCTTTAAAAATAACAAATTACATTTGTTACACTTGTCTGACCACATGAAAAGAATTTATTTGTCGTATTTTCCCGGAAACACGACGAAGGAAGAAGAGACAGAGACTTATTTTTATCGGAAAAAATACCTCAAAGAAGAAAACATTCGGGTGAGTAGAAATTTGAATGGAAACTAATCAATAATACTTGATATATAGCTTTGGCAAATTCACTGAGATCATCTGACTGAGAATTGTTAAGTATTTGTACTGAAAATTTGATGTATCCCATTTGATTTTAACTTTCTTCGATTCGTTTAGACTTTCAATGGCATCATGGTTATCCATAACTCAAATATTTATCACATATATCGCTCCTCTAATATTCTTATTGAGTCTTTTTGGTTGCTTAATGAATACAATTCTATTTTCAACTGTTCATATGTATCGTTCTCAGTCATGTACATTCTTTCTACTCATAGCAGCTATTTCTCGGTTTGTGCATCTTTTGAATACGGGATTGTCACGTGGTTTAGCGATTGTTATTGGAAAAGATGTGACATTAATTTCGCCTGTTTGGTGTAAAACGAGAAGTTATTTGATTAACGTTTGCTTGGGTATATCCATGACATGTGAATGTTTGGCAACAATTGATCGATTTTTAGTAACATCAAGAAATGCGAATTTTCGACGAATAAGTAATATTAAGTTGGCTTATCGAATTACTGTTTTTCTTCTTACTTTTTGGTTGATTGAAAATATTCCATGTTTTTTATTCATCGACATAATAAGGTTAGTTAAGAAAACATAATCTGATTATTCATAGAGAAGGGTGTCAACTTTATTCTCGGAACTGTTTAGCGCGAATATCTGTGCGATTCACACTAATTTTTGGATGATTTATTCGAAATACGTGATTAATTGGGTGTCACTGACGATCGTTCCGTTGATTATCTGTATTTTCTTCGGTTTATTGGCGTATCGAAATATGCACAGATTGAAGAATTCACGTCAATTACAAGGATCTGATCGTCAACTGAGTTATATGATTCTTGCTCAAGTCATTATCACAATAATTCCAATAATACCGAGCGCTTTTTTCTTTACGTATTCATCATCAGCTATTTCTATCAATGAAGCAGCGGAAAAGGGCGTTGAGTATTTCATCTTCAATTTTATCAATACTCTAACTGGTTTCTTTTTCGGGGTGAGCAGACAATCATTTATTTCGTTGTGTGATTGATTAAATTTCTCTTTTCAGAGTACTTTTTACATGTATCTGATTATTTCAAGTACTTTTCGTCAACAAGCAAAGCAATCCTTTTGTATTTGTTGTAGAAAAACAAACACTGTCGTACCTGTGAATATGAATGTACTGTTTGTTGCACAAAAAAATGCTCACTAATGAACTGTAAATTCTTATTTCACTTCTACCACGCATTCCCCAATATTTTGCTAAAATAAATGCTCTAAACTCAACCAAAACATTTTGAAGTCGATATTCTCCGAAGTTACAAATTGTGACAATAGAAATTCAGAAAAGAAGAGTTTTCATACAACCACAAAGCAATTAAGATCGGTGGGTTCTATACTTGAAAGTATTTTTTAACTATACAAAAAGTCTTGTAGATAAGTGTACATAACACGGTTGTATTTTATATAGACAAAAATGTATGTTCTGATATTATTTTCGATGATATAGTTGGATGTTGGAGTGATACTAAAGTTCTTCATAGTAGTATGAATGCCAAAATACTTGCGAGTATTTGTTAATAGAATCTATAATTCCAGTAATTGCATTTCATTTGAATACGAGTGATCGAACATTAACAAATACAATTTCTCTCGATAAAAATCAAGTTCGAATAGTATTTCCTTCGTTTCATATCGAAAAAACTGATGAAAACGATCAATGAGCTTATTTCATTATGATGTAACTCTGAAACAGATCAAACACGTTTGAACGCAAACCAAAAACGCACCCTAACGCGATAGAACTACGAAACGAGTCTAGACGCATCTGAAACACGTCCGAAATGAGAAAATTTTCAATAAAACTTTCTTTTGTAAAACTTAATTCATCGACTCTACTAAATATTATCTGTTTTATGTCAAAACTATTAGCCTGTTCGTTCGACCTTATCTTCTATCAACTGTTGTGATTCTATAATTCATGAAAAGGATTTAAAGATTTTCTAAATGAAAAACAAAATCTATTTGAGTAAAAAGATAATGGAAAATAACAATTGATCAACAATATGAACAAAATTTAATGTTTTCACTAAGAATCGCTCATCAGAATGATAAGAAATAGAATTAAAAGCTTTGTTAACTGAAACCGTACCGAAAATCGTAATTATTCATAATTAATCTTCAAATATATTTACGATTGATTTTGTTTGAGATAAGTTCTAGACGATTATCTCTACTAAAAACACAAGTTTAACTTATTCATAGATAAGCCAATGCAGTGCAATGGTCTAAGTAAGTAGACTTGTAATTAAAAGATCCTATGTTTTAGTCTCACTCGTCGAACAATCGAAATGTTTGTATAAAAATTGAATAGATGTCCTAATCGAAGCATAGTGAAAGAAATGACTATCAGGAGAGAAGAATGGTGACGCAGATCAAAGGTGTGGGAATAAGAATGCCTTTGGGAAAAAAAATGAATTGCATTTGTGTCGTCAGATGTTTTACTATGTCTTCAGATGTGTTTAATAAATGCATCAAATATTTCATTTCTATCGCGTTCGTGCCTTGTGTTTGAAACGCATTTATATTCAAAAGAATTTCACATGAGATAATTTTCAAATGTAGAAATCGAATCTTTCTCGCTTTCTTTTTGTTATCTCTTGAGAATTCGATTTTTCCAGGTTTTCTCTTCTGTTTATTAGTAGTACAATACGTCAATCTTCCTCTATGTTGCTTGTCTTCCTAAACACGGATGTCATTGTGTTGCATTTATGGTATATTTCCGTTGTAATACGAATAGAAAAGCGTCTTATTCGTATGGTCAAGTCCAGCGACATACTTCGTATTACCGAGAATGTGTATTTGTAATTGTTCGTTGTGACTTGCGTCGACGATATTCATAAAAATGCATGTCTAAGATGAATTTTGTCGTCAATATAATCATGTATTGCGTGTTATACTCTGTTTTGATAAGCTAATTTTATCAGATTATCTTTATTTACATTGAATACTTTAAATATCCACCGAATTGCAATTCTAAATCGACATCTCCAACTTTTCATAATAATTTAAGTAGAAGTTAGTTGTATTTTAATTCAATGTTCTTCGCATGGTTAGATGTTTGTAGACGACATTCCATAAAATACGCAAAAATAGGATTTGAAAAAAAAACCGCAATGTTTTATTTTTAAAACATTTCAATTGAAAAGTATTTGAATGTAGATGACACTCAATGATAAGAGTAAAATTGTCACTATAGATATTCAAGAAGAAAGTCCTGTACAAACAAATTTTTTCGAATAACATTAAACTCGCATAGTGGAAGATTTCTAACATGCTATGAAATTTCTTTATTAAAATATCACAAACAAGTTTTCACCTGCTGTTTTGTTCTTTCTCTTTCAGACGGATTATCTTTCATCATCGAGAAAAGATTATTACCAATGGAAGAATAGTAATATTTCATAGAATACCAGTGTAGTAATTCATATATATTCAATAGACGAATTTTAAAGACAAACATATTGATAAAACAAACAGAAAATGATGACACTTAATGGTAATTTAACTTCAGTTGTTATCGAATCATGATTTATTCTATTTGATGTTATATCATTGTTTGCTCTTATTTTAATCATAATCATCGATTGGGTTTTCCTATTTATTATCACTTTTGATAGAACTTATCATACAATACAGATGATGTATGTTGGTTACACATGTTTTACTTAATTATTGACAAGTATTAATGTATTTTGGTTATACGAATTTCAATTAGAAAATGACATAAAACGATTATAATATTACAATTCATTGTGCATATTTCGAAGTTATTTCACGCCTGCATCATCTGTTATGATGATACATTCATTTACATTACAAACATTTCATTGATATACGACAGCTGTTTATTCAATTCAGTTATTTTGGCAATCAATTCGAACACAATTGTTCCTTATTTGTGTATTCTTCATATTTTGTTTATTATTTCCTTTAATTCCATTGCTGACCGATTACATTGTTTATAATGTTTATAATCAAAATTGTGAAATTTTATTTAGTTTTAATTTCGGTGTCATTTGGATATCATCTTGTACTTACAATATACCTGTATTGATCATTATATTTCTTTATTTTCGATTGGTATTATATACAAAATCAGTCAGCAATAATGCAACTGCTGTTAACGTTTTATTTCGTGCACAAAGGGAATTGAAAATGGTGAAACAAATTGTTTTACTTGTATTTACAAATCCTCCAAAGTATCATTATCGAATTTCACATGTATTTGCTATATTACCGCATCCATTACTTCTTCTGACTTTATTCTATTTCACTGAACCATTGAAAAAATATCTTCTTAGACAAAGAAATCTAGTTGGAGTAAATACAACATTTATCAATCGTCAATAAATTCAGTCCGTTGATTCATAGATGAGATGTTATTTATTTATTTTCGAGAAAGAAATTGTCAGTGAATTGGAATTTTGTTTCGATCATTTGAATGTTGTTCTTTACAACAAGCTTTTTCTTGATGATAATGACTATTTTAATCATAGTAAAAACGCGTGACTTACCCTTGAAAATATTTTTACTTCAATAATGAATAAGACTTGAAACTTGGAATTTGAATGAAAAACAAAACAAAGGAAGTGTTCTGTTTCCTTTTCTTTTATACAGATGCGTTCTTGACTTCACTCACATATGTTAAAGAAGAAGAGAAAAACACGAAGAATAACATTAGAAACAACAATTTTCATATCCATATTTGAAAATGAAAATTAAGATATGAAAATATATGCACATGACTATGATTAGTAACAAAAACTAAAAAAATAGACTTTTCCATTTCTATAAACACATTCAAAATGTTCATGTTAATTGTATTTTCGCATATGAACGTGTAATTCTGTTCTATGGAGAAGCTATAAAGCAAATCTTATGAATATTACATTGATAACATGCATGATTTCTAATGAGGATTGGCGTATGAAAGAGAAATTTTATTGGATTAACTTTCTTTTACATAAAGAATATTCGTAACAGTGATAAATACATAGAAGGAATGTTCTGAAAGGAAAAAGATTTCAGATTAAAACATAATCTTATCTGTTGTATCTGAAGAGACTTCATATAATATAACAGTAGATGTTGCATCTTGAAATAACGTATTGTTTCCTATTTTTCTCAGTACATTTTCATCTTGTATCTGGTTTGTACTTTTGCTTTACCGTTCCAAGTAAAGTGCCTGATTAGCACTAAAATATCAAGCAGTTTCACGTCATCAACAATGGTTTTATGAATATATGCAAATTGCGCCAAACAATCCCCAAATAGCAGAAATACAATGAAAGAAAAACGCAATAATGAAAATACTCTTTTAAATTACATTCTTTCTTTTTGTTCGCATGCCGTGTATAACATTTCTCTCTTAGTATGCCTATATATTGTAGTTACTTAGTAATATTAACAGTTGCACAATTATTTCAACACACAAGTATTGCGGAGAATAAAATTTAGTTCCAAAACTCATTCGTATTGGAATAGATCGAACAAATATTCAACGGTATTAGTACCTTAAAGAAGATACTGCGATTAGAGATTAATTTCTTTCGTGGATGATCACGCAGTCTTTTTGTTGGTTCTTCATATTCATTTCTCTGGACATAACTACCGGTAAGAAAGATTTTTTATATACTGGAACTACCGAAACATACTAATTTTCTCGCAAATTTTTAGTTGAATTTGTGTGAAATGAAATATTTCTAATTAGGAGATTTGTAATGTAGTAAGAGTCAGAAAAGCGATTCTAGACAGTTGTTTTTTCTCAATTTCTTATTCGGATAAATTCACTTCGATACAAATATATGCTAGTCCATCTAATATCAGTCAAATTCATACATTTTGACATAGAACTGAAGGAGGAACCGAATAGCCCTGTGTACTCGAAAAAATAAAGGTAACAGTATAAACTGAAACCGACTGTTCCGACGCACATTAACAAAAGAGCTTTGATTCCGGAATATTGACATACAGCTAGACTTTCTTCAGGATTTAGTTTCAATGGGATCTATCGTCAGCATTACACATCCGTTCACACCTTCTTCTAACATTACGCTCATCTTGTACATCTATAGGTCAACTAGTTTTATCACCTACGGCTAACTGGTCGACTTATGCGATTACAGTTGCAGGATCTGCAGCTTGTACTGCTGGATCGACTTCCTCACTATTATACACAAATCTTGGTATATTCATTACAGACAACGATACTCTCTACGTTGCTGATCAGCTCAACCATCGAATAGTTGTCATTCAACCTAATTCAACCGTTGCTAGCAATATCATCGGTTCTGGTCCCGGAACGGGGCCTTCTCAATTCTACTCGCCAACCGATGTTTTTGTAACCAACGATGCTATTTATGTGCTTGACGCAGTGAACTATCGAGTACAAAAGTGGTGGAAAAATGGAAGTAATGTCACTACCGTTGTCGGAATTACAGCAACGGCTGGAACATCTGCCAGTAACACAACAATCGGACTCAGTTATCAGATATATGTCGATAGTTCTGGTAATATCTATGTACTTGACTTTGCAAATCACAGGGTGATGTTATTTCCACCTAACTCAACTAGTGGAACAGCCGGTACGATGGTTGCAGGAAATGGTGTTGCAGGCACTGGACCGAATGCGTTGTATAATCCAAGAGGAATGTTTGTGGATAGTACAGGTGCAATGTACATTGCCGATACGTATAATCATCGAGTTCAGTATTGGATCATCGGTGCATGTTATGCAACGACTGTGGCTGGTATTGGAACACTCGGGACTAGTTTAAGTCAACTGTATTATCCAGTGGCAGTGATCGTGGATATGAATGAATATATGTACATCACCGATCAGTTTAATAATCGTATTCTTCGATGGTTAGTCGGGACATGTGTGGGTCAGTGTGTTGCATCGTGTGATGGAACTGCGGCTGGATCGGCTGCAAACAAGTTTTACTATTCTGTTCGTGTGGTATTCGATAGTAATGGCTCATTGTATGTGAGTGATAGTGGAAACAATCGGGTGCAGAAATTCGTGATCACTACAAATATCAGTGAGTAGTTGACTTGATGGAACAACAGTTTAGGTAGTGTTTGATTGTTCACGAAAAAAGAAATTGAGGAATCTTGAGCGTATTTTAAATATTAGATCTGTCAAAAGAGGACAACAGCTGCGGTGCTTAACATCTTATATCAAGAATCAAACGCTAGTAGACAAAAAAATTGATTAGGACGGCTCTGCTTAATACCATAGCTATACAATAACGAAAAAAAGACGTTATTGTTTCAATCGTTTCATAAATAATCTTATAACTGAATTTATCAAGAGATTTTATCTAATTATTGTAATACTATATACTAACGCAAGAAAGAATACAATAAAACTCGTCTAAGTCATAGTGATTTACTCATGGATTTCCTATTTCGAGTGTTATGTACATGAGCTTATTAAAAGTAACAATCAACCGGATCATACAGACTTTATCTTATTGCTTCCGTAGTTTTCATTAACGAGTCTCATATCATTGTGTAAAATGCAAATGTTTTTGAAATCTGGTTCCTTTCATATAGGATCTAATTAAACACAAGTATCTTGTATTTCAGTATCAACGACCGTTTCAACTAGTGCTGCAAGCAGCAGCAGCACCTCAACCACTACTACTACCAGTAGCAGCAGCAGCAGTACCTCAGCCACTACCAGCAGCAGCAGCGCTTCAACCACTACTACTACCAGCAGCAGCAGCACCTCAACCACTACTACTACCAGTAGCAGCAGCAGCAGCAGTACCTCAGCCACTACCACCAGCAGCAGCGCTTCAACCACTACTACTACCAGCAGCAGCAGCAGCACCTCAACCACTACTACTACCAGTAGCAGCAGCAGCAGTACCTCAGCCACTACCACCAGCAGCAGCAGTAGTAGTACCTCAGTCACTACTAGTAGCAGCACCGGTATCTCTACCGCTACCACCAGCATCTCAATTGACACTACAACGAGTAGCAGTGCTTCAAGTAGTAGCACTTTATATACCAGTACTACTTCGAGCATTTCTACAATCTCGTCTCATATGTCAAGTGCCACATCGATTGCGCCTGTTGTCAATCAAAGTATTTATTTTTACGATAAATAGACACTATATCTATCACCTTTTGTTGTAGCTTGTTATTCACCTTTGATTACACTCATTCCGAGTGAGTCATCTTTATCATCTCCAATACAATATCAGCGAAGTCAAGATTTTGATATCAGCTCGATGATTGTATTGAATTGTACTAACTCACTCTCGACAACTATGAAATGGAGAATAATGAATTGTACTACTGTGTGTTCATATGAAATCCAACCAAATGCTGCGATTAAAACGATATATAGTGAACTTTATATTCCAGCAAGAACGTTAGATTATGGGACTTACGAGCTAATATTAACCGTAACAATGCTCAAATCTCCTAATATGAAGTCATCTTCTTCAGTCTACGTGAGAATAGTTGCATCAGATATCAAAGTAAATCTTCTTCAATTGGGAACATCAGCTATAACACATGGTACTCAGCAAGATCTTATTCTCAATCCCGGAGTTTATTCTGTTGATCCTAATGAAGATTCGTTTGATGCCAGTGTAAGTCTCAATCATTTGCTTTTGATGATAATGTCATAATCATTTGTATCGTTTTTCGTTAGAATTGGAAATATTCATATTATTGTCGAGTGTACGATTTGTATAATTTTCCAAACATTGGAGGTGTTTTACTGACAATTGAAAATTCTCAAAATGATCCCAATAATCCTTCATGTTTAACCAATCGAACAGGTAAATATTCCCTTATTAACATATATACATTTATTTAAATTTGCCAATAAAAAGACAATGGCAGTGGATTGAGATTTGAAAATTCAACCGATTCACCGAATTCATCGTTAACGATTCTTGCCGGTTCACTTCAACAAAATCAAACATATCAATTTCTGGTTATACTTGAAAATAAAATCAATTCTTCAATTCAAATGACAGGATATCTACTTGTACAAATTGTCACTACTACTCCACCATTCATTGCTCTTGGGTAAATCGTTTTTTTTAATGAAATATTTAAAAAATTCTTCTATTTAGTTGTGTTATTTCGTCATTATGTTCTTCAAATGGTGAATTTCAACTTGTTAATCCAACAACTCAACTTAGTTTATTTACTCTCTGTATCGGAACTTGTACAAATATTCAAAGTATCTATTGGAATATTTATCAAAGTTCATTTGTCAATTCAACCCAATGGACATTATTTAATCAAACTCATTCTTACGAGAATATTTGGTTCTTCGGTAAATATCTTTCTTCATTCTCGAAAATATTATTTTAGCGCGTAAACGAGGATTACAGTTCGAGAAAAAAACAACATTTCTTTATGAAAATTTTCTTCTATTAGGAATAAATACAAGTAATATAACAACAACAAGTGATTTGTTTATAAACAATCCACAAATAAATCTTTGGAAATTTGAAGTTGTTTATACATTTCTCTCGACAACAAGTACAAGTGCATTGAGTTTTATTCGAAATCAATCTCCTTATAATGGTTCATGTTCGATTTCTCCTTTAAATGGAACAATAACAACAGTATTTACAATTTCTTGTTCAAATTGGATCGATGTCAATGTAATCAAAGATTATTCATTATATAGTAATAAATCTCTTTTCTTTTTCATCAATAGAATCGAATTTTGACTATTTTTAGTATGGACAAATGATATATCCAAACGAATTATGATCGCATATTCATCAATATCATCTTTTCAAGTTCGGTTTCCTACTGGAATCAATGAAACATCATTTGTTAATGTTATTATTGATATTCGAAATCTACAGAATTGTATAACACAAATGAATTTAACATCTGTTTATGTTCAAGTTGATTCTGAGTCAATCAATGATTTAATCAATAATTTACAAAATTCATCGAATTTGATAACGAATAATCCAATTGTTCAATTACTTTCAAGTCAAAATACAAATGTTGTTGGACAAATTCTCATATCGATTTGTCAACAATTGAACATGATGAATAATCAATATTTAAATGAAGCTCTTTCAAATGGAATTCCTCTTGCAACTATTTCTGTTTCACCATTAGGAAGTGAATATTCTGATCAAGTAATCAAATTTCATTTTATTTCATTGAATTTCTTTATTGTTTTTTCTTAGAATTTCATTTCATCGAATGAAACTGCATTAAATGAATTTAATTTGAAATTAAATCGTTTAGCAAATGCAATCGATTATCTAATAATATTTCTAACAGAACTTCCCATAACAACAATCAATAATCTTCTATTACAATCATCAACATTCGCTCAATTAACTCAATCAACAAATCAATTAACACGAGCAACTTTAGTAAGATTTTCCAAAGTGAATTTCTACGAGAAATTTCTTTTGAAAATTCTTTTAGACCATCGCATCAAATCGATGTTATCAATTATCACTTGCTTTATCGTCATTGGCAGGACAAATTCCTTATGAATATATTCAAACAGCAGCTAATCAACTTCTACAATGTACAACGAATGTTTTAACAGTAAAGTTTTTGTTTTGAAATGTCATTTTATTCAATATATCGAAACAATGATTTTAGGCTGTTAATGGACCAATTCAAGGGCGAACAAATGTTCTGGATTTGGATCTTTCTCGTTCGAATCCTTCGAGCAATTCTTATGACACTGATCTTGAAGCTCAATTGTCAAATTTAAGTAAGATTTTTCATTGAAATTTCTCATCTAGATTCCAATATATTGAAAGATTTATTTGGATCAAATGAAGATTTAATCGAAAAAAATCGAAATCTGTATTATCAAAAACAGTTGTCGAATGAAATCATCAGTCAATCGAATAAAATCATTTCATTAATCACATCTTCATTAAAGATTTACATGAACACTGGCCAAAGCTTTTCAATCAATACATCTCAAACATATATGTTCTTAGAAACCATTTCAATTGGATCAATTGCTGATAAAATCATCAAACAAATTGGAAATGCACAATTTCATTTTCCATCTGATTTTATTTTCAATATAACGAACAATTCATCATCAATTTCACTTCGAGTAAAAGTTCAATTGTTCATCGTGTCATGTAAATCAACTGAAGTTTTTCATTGTTAATTTAGTCGAAAATGGATCCACTTGCTCCATATGGAAATTTTTCGAATACAAATCTTTCGAATACAGTTTCACTTACAATTCTTGATGAAAATGGAAATGACATTTCATTAAAAGTCAATGAAACGAATGAAATCCGCATAATCATTCCACGTGATACGAATTTTGTTCTTTCTTCAATGAATTTACAAAATGTGACATCAATGAATTCAACAAAATCAAAGTCTCCATTCAATTTTCATTATGTGAATATCAAAAGTTCACTTTCAATTTCACTTCATTTCGAAATTCAACCTATAAATGCAACTCCTGCTTATTTATTTATTTATAAATTCGATCAAACACCACAATTGAACAGTTCAATTTATTCTCTCGATGGATGGACACTTTTTTGTCCTTCAAGTTTGTCTTCTTTTCTTTACAAATCCATTCCCAATTCATTCATATTCTTTAGATTTAACAATCGATCATATTTACAAATATTTCCTTGATAATCAACAAACATCTTCTCATCAATCATTCATTTTTGGACTTCGAGAATTAAATTCTACAGAAATGAATATTTCTTGTTCAAATAATACTTTACCAATCACCGATGAACAATTTCAATTTACAACAAATTATCAATTGAGAATTTATACATCCGGTTGTTATTATCTTGATGAAAATAATAATTGGAAATCCGACGGTGTACGAGTAAGTATTTCAATGAGAAAATACAAAAATTTCTTCATTGTTCTTCCGAAAAAATTCTAAGGTTGGATCATTAACGAATCATAACGAAACGGAATGTTATTCAACACATTTAACATCATTTGCTGGTGGTTTTCTTGTTTTACCAAATCCAATCAATTGGAATTATGTTTTTGCAAATGCAAGTTTTTCCAAAAATCCCACAATTTACTTAACAATCATAATAACTTCACTGTTTTACATCATTTTAATGATTTATTCCCGATACAAAGATAAAAAAGATATTGAAAAAGTATTTGAAAACTTGGATTTGTCTCTTCAATAAAACTCTTCTAATGGCTTTTTATTTTCAGTTGGGAGTGACTCCATTAATTGATAATGAAAAATCTGATGAATATTATTATGAAATTCTTGTATTTACTGGTCAACGAAGAAATGCAGGAACAGAATCAAAAGTAAAATGTTTCCAAGTCAAAAATACAATTTCGATTTGTTCTATTTTAAGGTTCAATTTGTTTTATCCGGTGAAAATGATCAAACAAATGTTCGTCTTTTTTCTGATTCTCACCGAAAACTTTTTCAACGTGGTGGAATCGATGCTTTTATCATGTCTGTACCCAAGTAAGACGAAAGACATTCGAATATTTTTTCTCTTCAAAAACTCAAGATTTAGATCATTGGGATTGTTAAATTATCTTCGTATTTGGCACGATAATTCTGGTCAAGGTGATTCAGCATCTTGGTTTTTGAAATATGTTATCGTTCGAGATTTACAAACAATGGATAAATCTTATTTCATTTGTCAACGATGGTTCGCTGTTGAAAAAGATGATGGAAAAGTAAATCGATTTGTCTCCGAAAGTTTTCAAATGAATGAATTCTGTTGGAATTAGATCGAACGAACAATTCCAGTTGCCGGAGGATCCGAACAGAAAGAATTTTCATATATTTTATCGAAAACAGCTTATCGAAATGTCTCCGAAACACATTTATGGTTTTCAATCTTTTCTCGTCCACCATCGAATAGATTTACACGAACTCAACGATGTACTTGTTGTTTCGTTTTACTTTTCGCTGCAATGGTTATAAATATCATGTATTACGATTTATCATCTGCAGCAAATTCATCTAATCAAACTCAAAGTGCTTTTCTATCATTTGGACCGATTTACATCACATCACAACAGGTAAATATTAATCAATGGAAAATTTCTTTGATTTCAAATTGTCGTTTTCAGATTGGAATTGGAATCATGTCGGAATTATTAACATTTCTTCCCAGTTTATTAATTGTTCAATTTTTTCGTCGTATTCGACCTCGTCGACACATTTAACCATTACGTCAAGCATTACATCAAATGAAATCATCTCGAGCAATGTTTGTAGATTAACAAATGAAAATTTTCTTCACAATTCGATTTGTTTTTAGTCCTGCAACTGATGTCAAAGTGTCCGAGAAATCGAGAACATTTCCTTGGTGGTGTTTATTTATTGCTTATGCTCTTTCAATTCTGATGATTTGCATTTCCATATTCTTTATCATTGTTCGAGGAATTGAATTTGGTGATTTGAAGACACAGAAATGGTTGACGTCTGTTCTTACAGGATTCTTCTCATCGATTTTCTTGACTCAACCAATCAAAGTAAACTTTTGATGAATTTTTGAAAAGAAATCTTTATTTCATTTATTGAAAGATTCTATGTGTGGC